CCCCCCCCCCCCCCCCCCCCCCCCCCCCCAACCCCCCCCCCCCCCCAAACCCCCCCCCCCACCCCCCCCCAACCCCCCCCCCAACCCCCCCCCCCCCCCCCCCCCCCCCCGCTGTATTCCAAGAGGAAAATGGGTTATTTTTTTTTTTTGATGCTTATTTATTTTTTTTTTGATCCCTTGGGGTTATTTTTTTTGATGCTTATTTATTTTTTTTTTGATCCTTCACCCGTCGGCTCAGAGTTTGGCCTAGAACCCATGCACCATAGACACACCGAGATTTAGGGCTTGCTCAGGAGGCCTGAAGAGGAGTTTCCCTCCCTTGAACACACATGTGACGAGCCGCCCTTGTGGGCAGCCATGGTGCTTGAGAGCCCCATCATCGCCAAAGTGCTTGCTCGGTACCTGGGAAGTGTTGGTGAGGCATCTGCTCGAGTTGAAGTTTTCAGGTTCTTCAGGCGTAGCTCACTGTCACTCGAGAGGGCCTGTATTCGAGGTACCCAGACGTTGTGCCGAGCTCTCTGAATTTTCCGGCCGACGCTGTGGAGTGGAGCGAGAAGGACGTCGACCTCTTCGTGGGTGCTTGCCTCAGCTGTCACATGGGATGATTCACATGGAAGATCTGCGTGACGCTTTCTCTAAACTTTGATATAGTTCGAGAATAAGCGCGTAAGGAAGCTGCATTCTGTATTTGGAGGTCTTACTTGTTGGCTTGGAAAGCAAATTGATGAGTGGCCGTAACGTTGAAAGAGCTCTGCTGCCCCGCACCTTCCCGAAAGCAGGAGCCAGAACGCAAAGCGCACACCTGAGCTGTCCTAGCCCCAACGCTCCAAAACCTAGCAACTTCGACATGAAACCTCCTAAGTGGTGACAAGGCTACCATTCTCAGGATCTGGGATTTGGATTTGGTTTTGGGGAGTGCAGTTTCGACCTTTTTAGCAAGAGAACACGCAGGCTTTGCAAGTCGCGGCGTGCAAAACATGCGAGAACGCATTTGCTTTGGCAGCACATGGAAGCCGCAGGAAGTGGCGGGTTCCTGAAGCCGAAGAAGAATCCTTTCTGCAAGTAATAGGTTTTCAGACTTGGCGGCAAGTCCTGAAAGGATTCATACCTTCGAGGCACAGCAATGGTGCACGTCATGCGATCTCCCCCCCTCCCGTTCCCTTTTGGCTGACCACAGGAAGAAAGTGGCTTCCGAAGCGCCATATGCAGCGTCCAGCGCGGGCGCTGGGCCTTCCAAGCCAGCTGCACCGCAAGCCGTGCCGGCAGCCGTGCCGGCAGCCGTGCCGGCAGCCGTGCCGGCAAGAGCGCCAGCCGCAACAGTGGCGCCACCAGACGAGAGGTCTACAAAACAGGGAGGTGAGACCACAGAAACAATAGGCGGGCCGGCTCGAAAAGGCTTGAGCTTGCTCGAATGACGTGTATGTCGAGACTACATCGTCGGCTGCATACGTCAGTGGGGTATCTTGTATCACAATTGTGAGCTTGTACGAAGAAAGAATGAGAGAGGGCGAGTGTGGTGTCCGTTGAAAGTTTTTCTTGCGCAGTCATTGAAATCAAGGCGGTGCATATACTGATCCTTCCGATCTCATCTTGCGCTCAAGGCGGCGGCGAGGATACATCCACACCAGCGGATGAGGCAGAATAGTTTTTCGGGTTGTTATTAATTCTAGTTATTTATGGATAGGGAAGTGCAAAGTCATTTAGCTTATAGTTCATTTTCCTGGGGTTGTTAGACTTTAACATGTTTTCACTCAACTAGTGTCCTCGACCGGATTTTCGCTCGGGTCTCCACCCCTAGAAACCTGCGGAGAATCCTGCAGAGAATCCTTGCAAAATATCCCTGGGGCGCCCACCTGAATTTAAGGTCCGCAAATGTCAAGAGGTGTCACAAACATCGCCACTATGCACTATGCTTTTGGCATCGTCGCGGCTGCTACTCGTGCTCCCGCCTAGGTCCTAGGTGCCGGGACCCGGCTTTCAGAATTGCATGGCATCTTGGATCATCTTGGACTCTTGCAAGTCTTGCATTGGGTCCACAAATTTCGTGGGCAGATGCCGCGCGCTCGCCTGGGTCCCGTGCACATGCTCCCCTCGTGAGCTGTCGAGTCGCTCTTAAGGGCTCTTGCAAGGAGTGCTAACTTAGAGTGGCTTGGCGGGGTTCTCTAGGGTACTGTGAAGATGGGTCTTGGAAGCATTGGAAGTCTTTGGCTAGATTCTTTCGGGCGGTGGAGATGCGGAATTGGGGACGTGTTCTTCAGGACCGCGGCAAGGGAAGCCGTTCGTCAGCTCAGCCACGCGCCAACTCAAATTCTTCAGTTTTTAGCTCCGGCTAGACGGTGCCAGGTGTCTTTGTTGCCTGGGCCGGCGATACTTCCTGCGGCTGGGACATGAAAGGTTTCGTGCTGATCCGTGTGCTGGTCTCTGGGGGTCTTCACTGCTTGTAAGTGCAGACACACTTCCGCGCGTTCGGCTTCAATTCTGGCTGAAGGAGCTCCCGCTCACACGGTGGCACCGGGGCGAATATTGGGCACCCTATGCCACCTACATGGAGGATGGGACCTCACCCCAAGTTTTTGCTAGCGATCCTTATGTGTGCGTGGAGTCAACTCCAGGACGTCGGGGAGAAGGGCCTGAAGCTGGTCTCCGCACTGAACAAATGCGAACGTTTCCGGAACGTCGGGCTGAAGAAGGGCGCCTCTTGCTCGCACCGCAGCACTCCTTGAGATGTCGGCAAGCCCACTAGAAAGACATGTGTGGGGAATTCTTGTGGACTTTCACAAGATGTGCCGAGGCAGATTTTACCTTGGGCGACTTGAAGGAGAAGCTTTGGGGGACCTGGGCCTTGCTGCCTTTCAGTAGGCCCGGCATGCCTTTTATTGTTGCGTTCGCTGAAGTAGGAGAAGTTTGGCGCTGGCATCCTTCTGCGGGAGTTTGCTTTGGAGATGACGTCGCAGCCTCCGAGCCTTTGCTCCATGCTGGTACTTGAAGATGCATTTTGCCCCCCTTTTTTTGTGGAAAAAGCATGTGCAAGCCCGAGGAGCGACATCATGTCCTTGCTTTGGGTCTCCCTGCGCTTAGAGCTTCCGTGCTCGCCCTTTATGCCCATGCTGCATGGCTGCACACTCCAAGGGTTTGGAGCCTGGAGGTTCAGGGACTCGAAGCGAGCACGGACATGCATGTCCGTGCTCGGACATGCAGCTGAGACATTGGCATTTTGTGACCCGGGGGTTCTGACGAGCTGAGGTATCAAACCATGATCCCAGACGGTGGCAATAAGCCAGTCTGCAAGGGCATCTTTGGCATGCTAATGCTCAACACAGCTACAATGAGCTTTCTGGCAGCAAGAGCTGCAACGGTTTTGCTTGGGACCCTGTTGAAGTAGCTGCTTGCATTTATGCCTGACCCAACAGTCCCAGGTGTGTTGGAAGACAACCGCATCTACGAAAAGGCCCGCTGGGTCTGACATGCTCCGTACGTCTCCTCCGCGCAGCAGCGCTCGGGTGTAGTTCCGAGCTTGCCGTCAGCCTTTCTGCCGCCTTACATCTACGTCTCGCGATTGTTCCAAGCTAATTTGTCCACCCACAAAAAAAGTCAAGGGCCCGATCTCGCTGTAGCGGGAGCCAGGAGGTCAGCGCCATTCGGCAAGTCTGTGCAAGTCTGCGCGAAGGACCTAAAGGACTTCAGAGACTTTTTTTTGTCGCAGGTCGCCGAGCCCCTTCGCCGCGCTTTTGACCTTCGGAGGCTCGAAGTTGATCACGTTTGGAGCCGGTAACAGCTCGCGCATCTCGTCAATTTACACACCGCCCCTGTGATTATTCAGAAGCCGCCCAGCTCAAAGTTTGAAGCCCATGTCACACAAACAACCAGCAGCAGACTAGGACTAACAGCAGCCAGGTGCTCTGGCAGCCTTTAAGGTTTTCCTGACACGTGGGGACCTTTCTCTCACGATGCCCAGATGGCCGGCCTCCTAAATCTCTGTTGCAGCGGGCGGATACAGGAGCCCTATGAGAAGCCCCTCAAGCGCCTTCTGGCCGCATCGGTCTTGGACCTCTCAGCCGTCGAGGCCTTTGCACTCGAGGCGCAGTCGGATGGCCTCGGCGCTGCCAAAGCCTTGCGGGCGCTCTGGCGCGAAGTCGAGGGTTATCCCGAGGTCTTCAGCCATGCGTTTCGCAGCCGCCTCGAGGCCTTCGACCTGTGCAGTGCCGCGCTGCTCGCACCAGGGACCGACGGGCGGGCGCAGGTGCCCGCAGCGGAGGCGGAGGCCTTGGCCAAGGGGCTACTGGTGAAGGCGGAGGCACTGGCCAAGGGCTTTGCATCTCAAAAAACCGAGAAGACGGAGCACCTGCAGCAGGTCCTGAGTCAGTCTTTGGCCATCTGGGGGGACCTAGTGCCTGAGCAGAGCAAGCGCTCCAAGGCATGCCGATGCGATTTTGGAAGAAGTTTAGCGCGTTATATCTATTTCCTAAAGGCCTTTAGGCTGTACATCCGGTGAAACAACCACCCTTCCAAGGACTTGAAGCAGAAGATCGTCGTGCACGTAAAGGCCCGCGGCCTTGACATCGGAGCCCCCGAGGGCGACCTCGCCGCGGCGTACCCCGAGCCCATCTTCAAGATGCCATCAACCGAGTGGTTCCAGAACGTGCTGGACAGCGAGGATGAGAACCGGCTGGCATTGGTACTTCGAGGTACCTTCGCGGACGCGCAGCTGGATGAGCTTTGCCTCCTGGCCTGTCAACACAAGGACTTCTCCTTCGATGCCTTCCTTGAGGCGCTGGTTGACACTCTTGGATGCTTTGTTCTTTACTTGGGCACCCTTCAGTTTTGTGTTAAGCGGATTCTAAAAAAGCTCAGCTCGGAGACCCAAACTCATGCGAGTCCACATTCTCCCCCAAGGATACGACTTTGCAAAGATAAGCCAAGCCGTGCTGAAAGTGGTAGAGAAGTCGGTTTCGCGTCTGGGCAAGCTTGGCAAAGCGCCTCCTCACAAGCTTCGCCCTGACATGCTGCGTACTCTCACGGATGAGATGGTGAGAGGGGCTCTAGATGCCCTGAAGACACAGCAGGTTCAACTGCTTGGCGGGTCATCTGCTATTCTGCAGCTCATGTCCTTTGTCGTGGTCGCTGGCGCGCAAGCAGCCAACGACAGCGACAGCGACGACTCGCGATCGCCCAAGACACCAGCAGCGCCTCTGCCCACACGAAGCCTCACCCTGCCGGAAAGCCGCGTCTGGGAGATCTTCTTGGCTGCAGTGTTCAAGTCTGTCCCAGAGACGCCTGCAAAAGCCCAGAGCTTCCATGCTGGCTACATCTCGGACGTTCTAAGACCGTCGCTAGCTGCCATCGCTGGACAATCTCCGACTGCACTTCAGTTTTCTCAGGAGCAGCTGCGCGTCATCTCCTCCACCGGTATGAGTCACATCGAAACAGCAAGGGAATGCTTGAGGGAGTTGGCTAGTAGACTTTATGAGCAGCCAATTCTTCGATTCAGGCACTCCGGTTTCGCACGGCGCCAAGCAGCACGTGATTTCCAGGAATTGGAGGTTGAAGCACCCGACCTTGGAAGGAGCTGCACTGACCTGGAAGGTAGGAGCCAAGCTGAAGTCCCAGACGTTCCTGATGTTCCTGACGCTGCGGAGCTCGACGCATCAGAAGAGGCGAAGCTGCGCGCAATCTTCAGCACGTGCGACACCAACGGTGATGGGACCATCAACAAGCGGGAGCTGATCAAGATGTGCCGACAAAGTCTCGAGACGGCAATGTTTTTCGGCTTGCCAAGCGTCATCAAGCAGGAAGACGGCTCGCGCGATCTGCTGGAGCGGAGGTTCCAGCGCATGGATCAGAATGATGACCGGGAGGTAACCTGGGAAGAGTTTTATGACTTTTACATGTCGGAAATCAGGGCAAGGCCAAAACCTTCCACTGGCACTGGGGAGCCTCGACGTTCAAGCTCCGACTTGAGCCGCATGAACACTGAGCAGGAGATGGATGTCAGAAAATCCTTGGCGGTGGAGGAAGACATGGACTCAGAGAACGAGAGCGGTCTAAGCCCAGCAAAAGCAGAAAGGAGAAGCCACCAGCCGTCTCTGGCCTTAGCCATCGACCAGCAGCTGGCGCTCCCGGACCTCCAGGGGCCGCCAGCGGTGGCAGATGAGCCCTTGGCACTGGCTGTCAAAGAGGCACCGGATCCAGGAGCTTCGAAGGAGTGGATTGCAAAGGCGACGCGCTTCTTGGACTTCATCCATGAGCAGGTTGCGGCGCACACGCACGATGGACAAGTGACCCGGGTGGACTTTGAGGATGTGATCCTCACATCCAAGAGCTACGGCCACTGCTTCGAGCATCTCAGCGGCACTGAGGACCTGGCAGCTTCGGATATTGACATCGGAGCCGTCGAGTTCACTGACCACTTCTTGGGAGACGTGGCTTGCGAGCATTTGGAGGGGCTCCGTCTGCAGACTCTGCCGCCGGAACCGTGGCACCCTGTGCCAGCAAGGCAAACGGAGGCCGCGCCCTTCCCACAGAGCATGCTGGCTTCGAAGGCTTCGAAAGACGCGATGGTGCTGGCCACCACTGCTGCAACATTCGAGTCCTTCGAGGTTGCCGAGTATACTGAGGAGGCCCCAGCTCCGCGCCAAGAGCCCGAACCACTCCAGGCGCTTCCCGCTGTTCACGCGGAGGAACAGCGTGAGCCTGTCTGGAATTCCGCTGCGGTGGCAGAGGAGGCTCTGGCAATCGTGGACACGCCTGCTCCGGAGTCTCAGGAGGTCCCTGCCATAAGAAATCAAACGGACCCGGCTAACCTGAAGATGGAGGTCTCCAAGATGGAGGTCTCCCGACCTGAAATCTTGTCATTTTGTTGACTACGCTGTTTCGACGCTTACTGTAGTAGCTTAGCGCACGCTAGCGAGCATGTCCCATGGGCACATCAATAGTTTATTCACACCCTAACGTGGGGCCTGGCGGTGACCAATCCGAGGTACCTCTCCGCTCGGCTCCGGAAGTGGGCACGCGTCCGACATCCAAAGCCGCGGCGTTGGCTGTTCCAGACAACTGGTTTGCTGATGCAGGGGCGGCAGCAGCACGCCCAGTACTGCCACCTGTGCCCATCCTGCAACTGGAAGATCCTTCTGGAGGCCTCCCAATCATCCCGAGCGGGCGAGCGAGGATTCCAGACCCCTCAGACCCCCCAGAGCTTGCTCCCAAGCACATGGACTTGGGAAACTCGATCTTGTCCTCCACTGCGGCAGACACAGTGGCCCTGCTGGGTGAGTCCCAGAGCATCCAGAGCCTCACAGTGGCAACAGGCTCACTGGATGCAACGGCGCAGAATGCGGGGCAGAATGCCGTGCAGAATGCGGTGAATGTGCAGACTCTGCAGGCATCGGCTCAGAGGCCCATGCTGCACATGCAGTCGGCCTTGGAGACGTCACAGATGCAGACAATGCAGACCCTTCAGACCATGGAGTCTCTGGAGACTGGTCAGCCTCCTGCGCCACTGGTGGGGCTTGCAAAAAGTTCGCTGGTGAGCGAAGCTCCGAACTCGCAAAGGTCGCTGCGCTTCGAGGACTCGGTTGCAGAAGCCCGGCCATCAGATTCCCTGCGCTCGATGGAGGAGCAAAGGCACGGTTTCGTTGAAGCGCCGGCTGATGACGAAAATTCAACATGGAGAACGAGCCAGACCCGTAGCTCTGATGCGCATTCTTCCGTGGAGCACGCTGCATCTTCGACGCGCCCTGCAAGGGTGTCTGCAGGCGCCGTTCCGCCTCTTCCTTTGGACTACCTGGGGGAGTGCGGCATGCAAGGCATGCGAGGCGTGCAAGGCATGCACGGCATGCAAGGCATGCAAGGCATGCAAGCTCCAGGACCGGTCCGGGATGAGGCAAATCGCGCGTGCCCAAGCCCGGGACATCAGGCGCATGCTCAGCATCCAATGTCTGGCGCAGCTTCCTTGGCAGGGGAGAGTGCCCGGGCGGGGCTGTTTCCCAGGTGGGATCCTGGAAGCTACCGCATGGGATCGCCTCATCGAGACGAGGTGCCCTTTGCGGATCTGAATCCCCTGTACTACGACTACGACCTGCCAGATGCACTGCAAGATCAAATTGCAGTGTTCTACCGAGAGTTGGAGGAGACCAAGGAGCGGCAAAGGCGTGCCGAGCGTGACAACAACGAGCTGGTGCGCTACTTGGCCGCTCTTTTGGCGGAGCCCGATCCTCCTGAGCTCCAGCATGCACCTCATGCAAGAGTACCTCCAGCACCTCTTCCAGCACCTCTTGCACCCCCGAAATCCAGCCAAGTGGAGGAGAGGGCACAGCCCGCTCCAATCGCTGAGACGCAGTCTTCGATGCCAACACCTCCGGCTCAAACGATGTCGCAGGAGTTGCTGTCAAAGCCGTTAGTCAACATCTCCTTCGGTGCCGGGGCTCCGAATGAGGGCAATTCCCGACCTCAGCGTTCAGCCGAAAACGTCCTCACGGAGTCCATCGCGTCTATCTTGCCTATGGCCTTTCGGAACCTCCTTGAGCGCCCGCAGCATGAAAAAGGCGAGCAGGAGAGGCAGCAGCTTCAGCAGCAGATATTGCAGCAACAGCAGCAGCTCCAGCAACTGCAGCAGCAGCAGCTTCAGTTGCAGATGCACATGAATCAGCCGGGGCAGCAGCAGCAGCAGCAGCAGCAGCAGCAGCAGCAGCAGCAGCAGCAGCAGCAGCAGCAGCAGCAGCAGCAGCAGCAGCAGCGGGGGCCGACACCGCGGCATACACCACAGTCCCAACGCTCCGTGCTGGATCAGCTTCGAGCCGAGCTAGCCGCTGAAAGGCGTCAAACTGCTGCAGCGGCCCCAGCGATTTCACCGGACTTGGGAGCTCTCCAGGATATGGTTGAGGAGCTAAAGAATGCGGGCCAAGCCACCATTGGTCAACTTTTGCAAGCACTTCAGGATGTTCGAAGCACGCAACAGAGACTAGAGCGACAGGCCTCAATTCCAGCTTTGCCAGCGCCAGTCCTGATCGACTCCAGTCACTCCAGTCCTGGCCACAATTCCATGATCTCCATGCCCTCAATGGGTCGAGCGGTCCAAAGCTTTGAACAAGAGGCCTCAATGGCCTCCATGGCCCCCATGGCCCCCATGGCCCCCATGGCCCCAATGGCCCCAGGGCCTCCGCGAAGGGTCGCTCTCGGTGCGGAGGCCAGGCTCGATCCAATGCGGATCCAGACACATTTTCCCAGCCCCAAAGATGTGCGTCAGGACCCCCGCAGGCTGGCGTGGGATGCGGTCTGGCCGCAAGATGCTTGGCCCGTGATCCCTAGAAGGCGAGGGCAGCGGCTACAGCCATCACAGGCGCCAGCACAGACCCTCATTGACCGGGAGATGGCACGTTGGGACGCAAGGGCCCAGTTGTTGGAGGCACAGTTCCGGCGCTTGCACGACCAGGCAGCTCGGTGATGCTCAATGTAAAGGAGCCCTGGGTGCCTGTGTTGGGCAGTTCCGAGATGGACAGTGCATGAAGCCTCGGAAGTGAGTGGGTCGAAGATCGGCTCAGACATGCGTGATGCGTGGACGCATTCTTGAAGAGATGTGCAGAGAGAGATCCGGCTAATGTCAATCTTAAAGAGATGCGCTAAGAGAGCTGTGCGCTACAGGCTGCAGCCAATGTGCATCGAAAGGTTTCACGAACCTGCTGAAAATGGCGACGACTTTGTTGTGTTTCGAGGGTCGCGGGCTCCTCATCTGACAGTTGCAGTAGAAAGTGCCAGTACCAGCCGGATAGTTTCTACAGTAGATTGCCATCAAGTACTGTTAGCGGGCGCTACCCAGGCACCCTTAAGACTGAAGACCCGTCGAAACCCGAAACCGAGACTTCCTGAATCAAAGCACCCTAAACCCTAAACCCTTAACCCTTAACCATTAAACCCTATAAACCCAGAGCATCAGAGCATCAGCCGAAGGCCCACTGGTGCCGAAGGAGTGCCCAAGTTTCCACGTCGCTTGGCCCGGAAACTGGGAGTTTTGGAAAGGGAGCTTCCAGGTATTCGAGGTCCTTTAGGTTTGAGGGCGACTTTGCTGTAAGGTTGCTTTCCGGTTTGGTTCAGCCTTGGGCCTGTAAGCCTGGCAGCAGGGCTAAAAGTAGCAAAAAGTGCCGTAAAGGCGCAGTATCCCTTCGGACCTCGGCGAAGCATGACCTGTATACGGGCTCTTCGTTCGGAAATCAGCCAAGCTTTGCAAGGGCTGACACGGGACATTTTGGGGTTCAAAGGCCGGCTGGCAGACCCCAATGCGCACTGAGCTTCATGAAGGAATGTAGGCACCGGCCTTTTTTTCTCCCATTCTTAGATTCGTTGCCTAGTAATTATGCTTAATGCATTAGTCACGCCATGAAGAAAGTGAAGCTTCAAGACCTTGTGCTACTAGCTAGCAGTCCCTTCATCCTTCCGGGTGGTGTTCTCTGTACCTTCGTCGCTTGTTCCAGCATTGGCAGCATTGATGATTATACTTGTTAATCTGCACCTCTTGTTTGTCTTATTTTCTGGTACACAGTTCTTCTCCAATTGTATCTTCTTGCTTCATGCAGAAGTCTGCAATCAGGTGTTCCTCGGTCCGCCTTTCTTGCTTGTCACATTTTTCGCATGCCGGAACAACATCGCAGAACAGCTGCTTCAACATAGATTGCTTGTGCTTCCGAGGAATTTACCCCCAGCGCGGGTCCCCGTTTCGACCAACGCAGCCTGGCCAGGAAAGCAACAGGACAAGAGCCACCTATTGACCTGACTAGTAAGGGCTCGCTCTGGGACGCATCACGTGCTCAGGCAGCTTCTGATGACTTCTTACACAATAATGCCCAGCGACTGTGAGTCTTGGCATGCACTGTAATGCTCGCTGCGCTTAGCTGCCTGTCCAATGCCGCCAACAAGCTGAGGACATGTACCGTGTGATTTTCCATCCGCAAATGGTCAGTGTCTGCGAGAAGGTGAATTTCGCAGCCACCGTCCCAGAGTAGTTTAGGAGCACTTCTAGTGGCTTGTGCACTTGTGATCAAACTGTCTTCATCGAATCTTGGAGTGCCCTGAGGTCTCTGCGCCCTTCTGCGATGTGCCGGCGGTCGCCATCTACGCGAACTTGGCCAAGCCTGCAGGTCGATGCATCTGGCAAGAGATTGGAGCCATGAAGATGGAATGGGAGAGCGTCAGAGGGCACCATTATAGGCACCCCCTGATACAACGGGACCCGGGATCGCCGACAGATCTGGCATGGATGCAGGCATTGGGGACTGCTTCAAAGTCCGGATCTTCGTGGAGTCCACGGAAGGGGCTGCGCAGTTTCGTGTGCTCTACCTCTTTTCAGTCGCCTGGCCAGAAAAGCCAAGCTACAATCATTTGATATAATTTGCTAGACGTCGTTGCAGAGTGACGGATGATTGCAAGGAGGCATCTGGAGGCGATTGCAGCAACTGCAGATACTCAGGCCAGCGGCTCCTCGGGAGCAGCGGTGGGTGTCATGGCGGCGGCTTGGTCACATCGGGTCTGCCGGGTATCATCAAGCTTGTTAGGGGGAGCAGGCTCCGGAGCAAATGCACAACACTTTCTCGACAACTCCACCCCCCATACTTGAAAGGCTCGAAGGCTCTACAGGGGCAGAAGAAGAAGCAGAAGAAGACAGAGTCGTCAGCGTCAAAATCAAGATGGCTGCGCTGAGTTAGCCGTGTTGGAGTCAGCAAGCAATCACAATCTGCAGGCCTTCCTCGTTTACGGAGCGCCACCAGGGCAGCTCTACTCCGAGGACTGTGCAGGTTCACATGGCTGCAACTCAAAAGTTCAGGGTATCCCAGTCGCCCTTGCTTTGCGACATGCATGGGGAACGGGGGAGGTGACGGGGCTTCGCGACATGATGGCGTTTTGATTCATAGCCAAATGAGGGGCTGGTTTTCAGTCGGTAAGCTCCAAACGAAATGCCCAGGATACGCAGCATGATGAGTACGGCTAGCTTGTCTGTAATTAGACATATATAGAGTCTACCAGTCTACCCATGGCAGCAAAATTTATGAACGATATGATGGTGCTCATTCGATACTTGCGTTGAGAATGAAATCGTTGTGATTTGACCTGACATGTGAGTTTTTTTAGTTGTGATGGCGGGCGCAGGCGCAGGTATGTGTACGTATGTGGCGACACTATGCGGCCTGACGAACCAAGGACGCTTTGGACGTCCACGCACCGAATCCGCGCATGACGTGTAAGCGTATGCCTAATGCTTACATTTCAACAACCAAACTAAGGTTTTTGCATCTTTCCACCGCGATCCGCACCACGCGCTCTTGACGTTTTGACGCGCTTGAATTTCTCTCGATGCCCCGCGAAAGCCAATGCAAGGACTCAAGCAGGAATTTGTGCTATTCCGTCGTGCGAGGTCTTGGACGAAGTTCCTCCGTACGTAGGGGTCCTAGGTCCTAGGCAGAGAATTTCAGGTAACTGTGCGGTAACGTGATATTGAGTCGGCCAGCTCTTTTGGCTTAACGCCTGGTGTTGCGAGAGGACATCTCTGCCTGCGCCGTCCCCGCCTTCGCTGCCCTGGAGGCCTTTGCAGTCCGCGGGGCCGCCAAGGTGGACAAAGCGCTGGACCTAACGAGGCGCTTGACCCTGGATGCTTGCTTCTGAATGCTCCCTGGACCACGCGCATTCCTGGGTGGAAGGGGCAATTCTATGGACTCGGGGTCTCTGACAGGTGTGAGCGGCCCTCCACCTGAGTTGGACGCTCCTATTCTCCGAAAAGACTTCTTTGCTCAGCAGCATGTGCTCCAAGTCACCGACGGATTGCGGATGTCCATTACCGGCATGTGCAGCCACAGTTGTGCCTGCTTCCTCCCAAATTCACCTTCAGGAGCCATTCCCGAAAGGAGGCAGGATCGACAAGCATGTGACAGTATATGCCTGAACAGTTCGAAAAGCAAGGCCTTCGTTGTTGCGTGGCAGGTGTGAAGCAGAACTTCTCGAAGGCCGAACCTGTTGTCGGAGCAGCCTGCGTGACAGTCAATAGGGTTGGATAGGGTCTCAAAGTGATTATGACATTCGAAAAATGACGGTATCTCGGGTATATCAGCATCCCGGTTCCATCAGTAGACATTCCTTGATACACTTGTAGCCAAAGCATATCGCAACATCCTCGCATCGGCTTGCTACTTGTGTCGCTGCGTTTGGCAGCTGCCCGATATTTACCGACGAAATCCAGCTAAAGCCAGCACAGTTCAGCGCTGGTTGTTTCCGGACAGGGGTTCTAAACTTTAGACCGATGGATTGCATGGAGGATGAGGTGAAGGCGTCCGAGCAGATCCATGATGGAGTGCAGGGCCAGGCGGGCTGCCTTCGTCCTGCATATGGCATATGCACTGTGTCCGCCCTGCTTCTTGAATCTACAGTAGACGTCGCAGCATGTAGAAGCAATCAGGCCGCCCCCGCTACGCCAAAACTGCATTGGCTGTGGAGCCCTGAATCGCTGCCGAGCCATCAGGAGACCTACGAGGATGGATCCTCCTATGAGGGCCAGCTGTCGGACGGCAGGCAAGGGTGCACAATTGTGCCAGGATGTGCCACTAGGCCCATGCCGTCTACATCTGTCTACAAGTCTGCAAGGTTCAGGGATAGGGCGGGCGGATAGCGGCCTGTCCGACGCTTCACTGTCGAAGTTCGTCATCAATGGGAAGCGATGCTTTTCTTCTAGTCTTAGGTCGGGTCGGGGCATGTGTGGCACACGTTTGGGAGGAAGATGTTCTGCTACAGTCTGTCGGCACGCCAACCAATCGTGCTGGTGTGTGTTGGGCATTTGTGGTTGCTCTGCTGCACCGTTTTTGTGCATGAAGAAAGCGGCTCATTGGTCTCGATAGAGGCGGCACGGATACGGCACCTGGACTTCCGTGGCTGAGCAATACTCCGGACAATGGGTGCAGCTTTGCCGCAGTTTGCAGCATGACCGGGCTGCGGTCACCGTTGCTGGAAACGCCTTTGATCGCATGTCAGATTGCATCAAAGTGGTGCAGTGTGGCAAACTGACCAAGCTGCAAGTCCAAGGCATGACCAGCGGGATGGCAAGGTGCGTCCAGTGCGTTCCCTTGCGTATTGGCATCCGGACAACAGCTGTGACCAGTTGACACGCTAGTTGCCAGGGACGGCAGACATGGCAAGATGGAAGAGCCTACGAGGGCCAGTTCAAGCAAGGCCTGCGCCGCCGTTCTTTGGTTTGTTTGGGCATTCCTCGTCCTTCTTCGCCTGCACAGGCAAGTTCCACGGCAAGGGCCGCAACTGGTCTGCATTGGCTACAGGATCTCGGGAAAACCTTAGCTGCCGTCATATTATACTTGATACCTGAAAGAGCGAAGTCTGGTTCCTGCACTGATTGAGTGGCTGGCAGTGCTTAGGCATGGAATGGCACACGCCAAAAGGCCCCGTTCGTTGTACTTGTGTCACTGTGACATATTATGTACATACTCTTCCATAACCAAAGCACTACAAGAAACATCCAAGACAATGTTCGTTAACTTCTAAAACCAGAGCATTTGTAACCGTATTTGATGGAAGTTATATGAGCAAGTGCAGCAAGGGTCAAAACTATGGTACTAGCGGCTCTCGCTTGAGGACATGTGCAGGGTCAAGAAACCCTGCAACACGAAGGGAAGCACCGAAAAGCGACGCCCCATATCTACCCATAGCAGAAACATCAGTCCATCGCTATCATTTGGGACATATTGGTACTGGCAGCTGCCGGCAACACAAACCCCTGCAAAGCGACGGGTTGCAGTTGGGGCCCATAACAAAACCATCACAAACCCTTGTAAAGCGACGGGGAACACCGAAACGCGAGGCCCCCCCAACTATTGCGCGACCTAGGCCGAGTTTTGACGGTCTCTCATATGTAAGCATGGTATATTTTATGCAGCCAAATAGCCAGTTGTAATTGTTTCGTATAATTGTGCTTTGTAAGTGCTTTCACTGGGAGATGTATATCCATATTGAATACCATGTTATCGTTGTTATCAATCATAAATGTAGTGGACGCGCACATTTTCGTGTATTATGGGCATATGAAAATGTGGCACAACTAAATCATAATTAACAGCAGATTTTAGTACAATGTTATGGTACAAGGTATGTGATTGTATATGTGTTGTGCTACATCATTGGGCTCATTTTCATTTTGTGGTTCAAGCCTACGTTTATCATGGCAAATGGTCTGCCTGGTGATGTGTTGCGCCACGGAGATGTTTCGTGCGCAGGCCTGATGCTGTATGACGGCGAGTACTTCGAAGACTTGAAGCATGGACATGGTACCTGGCATGAATTATGATATGGGCGACACTACACAAAGGAACACTCTAGCCGTCCGCACCTGCCCGAGGTAAGTATGAGTGGCCAGATGGCCGCAAGTATGAAGGCGGCTGGAAGGCCCAAGCAGATTCACCCGGTGTTGTTCCAAACAAGGGGGCAATGATGAAAAAGGCCATGCCAGATCATGAGCATGAGCACCCCGCACCTGCAAGCAAAATGCTGTTTTTGAAATGGAAGCAAAGACGACGCTGAACCCTCTGCAAAACAACCACAGAGAACGAGACGCTTATTGCAGGCAACGATGACGCTGTTAAGAAAGATGCCCGTTTGGAGTGCTTCCGTTCAGCTGGCCCTGAATCCAGGAGGGCCTGCGGTGTGGGCCGATGCCTCAGCTTGTTGTCTTGCTGTGGCTTTCAGTCATGCGCATGGCCCGCTGAAGACCTGCCAGCCGCTGCTGGACCGCTTTTTGATGCGAGCATGACTCCTTAATGCGCTTCGAGGCAGGCCACCTACACAAACGCGCAGGGACAGAGTCGGACTGGCGTATGGAAGGATGACAAGGCCACCGTGGGTGTTTTTGCAACTCCAGAGTTGGAATGAAGCTTTGGAGCTCCCTTGAAAGGTCGAGCGGTGGTTGGACGATGCTCCGCCTGCTGCTTCTAGACACTGAGGCCGCGTGATCCAGTGAATGTACCTAAATTCAAAACAGTAGGACCAGGAGAGGTGCTTGTCACGCCAGATGGTAAGACCATGATCGCCGTTGCGCTGATTCAAACAACGTCAGCATTCTTCATCACTAGGTTGAGAGCACACTCCTGCCACGCCTTTAGTTCGTTCAGTCTCGTGTAGGGTGAACCTTTGCACGCAGTTGCTTAGTCAGCTTCCGCTTTGAGCCAACTCCCAGTTGTGATGCAATCTAGTAGTTGACTTGGGGCTGTTGCTCGGGCTGCGATTTTTCGCTTGGCAAAAGTGTCCTTATCGGTCAAATCGAAGGCCGTAGTCTCACCCTGCTGCCGAGCTTCCGGCAGAACGCCGGGAGGTGAGGAACGATGGCCGCGAGCTTTTTAGCTTGCGCGCGGGCAGCAAAGAATTCAAAAATGTTGGGGAAGCAATGTGCCCTCAACTGACTCTCCACTTGTTTGTGGATGAAAGGGTGGCGTCAGCAAGTCCAGCCTGCGGGATCTCCGACATACATGAAGACGAGTCGCTTGTCGAGTGTGTGTTTGTGTGTGTGTGAGAGTTGCCTTGCACACCCCTCCAGTATGTGTTAGCCGAAGGTCTCGGACTCGGTTTCATCCTTTGCAGCACCTGGAGGCTTTTGGACTCGCATATCAAAGCCTTGCGGTCAGCATGAATCAGTCCGGAAGCAACACGCCACCCACTGGTTGCTGCAGCTTACCTTTGACAGTTCTGCTCGGGCGGTTTTGCGGGTAGCCTGAAATGACGTCCGTGCTTGCCAAGGCCACACGTGAATCGGGTGTACGTGCAGTCGTGTTTCTTCAAAGTTGCCAGCAGCGGTGCATCGTTCACAATCGTACACCTGAATATTCATACCTTCCATCCTTGCCACATCTATATATATATATACATATATATATATATATGCTACCCCCCTCCAAAACCTACCGTTTACGAAATTCAGCCCAACCTCTCAGAGCAATAGCGCCCCTCCAAACCTTGCAACACTGCACAACAACATTCTGTCTAACCTATCACGAGAACAGCATTGCGGCATGCTACTTTGTCGCGTGGGCGAAATATAAATCCCCAAATGAGCCCGACTCCCTAAATCCTGTTCCCTAAGTCTTACCCCGCTGTGCCGTGGCTAGTCGGGTGCCAAAAAGGAGCCTTATTCCCTTAATCTTATTCACAAGATTCTATTGCATAAACCCGAATTCCAAAACAATTACGCCTGTTCCCACAATCCTTTTCGTTAAATCCTAAAGCGCCCTAACTCTTATTACCTCGATCCCCAAATCTGTGGAGGGGGTTCACTAAATCCTAAAGAGAGGATCCTGACATCCCCAAAATGAGACCCCCCCCCCAAAAAAAAAAAAACGAACCTGGCACGCTAAATTTTCTCGCAAAATCCTAAAGAGCGGGATCCCTAAACCTTATTCCCTTCATTTTACTCCTTAAGTCTTTTCCCCTAAACCCCCAAGAGGGGAACCTTCAAATTCTGAAGAGGGGAGACCTTTGAACCACAAGAGGTGGTTTAAAACTCCCCGAAGGTTGAAGATTGAAGATTCCCGGAAAGAGTTCTAGGAACCTTCAATCTTGAATCTTCAGGGCCGGGAGCTTTAAGACTCTCCTTTGTGCCAGAAGGGGAGTTTTAAACCTATGTTTCTGTTTCGAAATGAAATCATAATGATATGGATATTTCGAGTCAAACTTGAATCGGCCGATTCAGTTTTGAATCGACCCTCAAACCGAAGATTGGAGGTTGAAGCTTCTCAGAAACTCTTTCTGGGAATCTTTAATCTGTAAAGCCCGGGCCGATTCAAAATTGATTTGGCCCTCAAACCGAAGATTGAAAATCGAAGATTCTCAGAAAGAGTTCCTGGGAATCTTCAATCTTCAAAGCTGGGGCCGATTCAAAATGGAATCGGCCCATTCAATTTTTGAATCGGGTCCATCTGTGGAACATGCCACGTATCACGATAAACTATAGGCAAAAGTATAATTTGTTATGCATATGTATATGTATATGTATATGTATATGTATATCGCACACATGCATGCATGTATCCACTTTGACCAGGAAGGTATCATGCATACTAGTCTCCAAACCTTGACAACATCCGACACCTGCCTGTACCAGGTCCTGGGACTCACGTTTCTGGCGGCACAGGCCCAGCCATGAAATTGGAACCCATGTGGGGTGTAGAGCAGAGTACAACAGTACCCCAATTGAATAGGAAGGCACCTGCTTTTGGCCCTGTCGCTGCCCAGTACAAGCAGTCACGACCCCAAGCCGTGGTGGTAAATTTGTGCTGTGGCTGCAATGGCAGCTCTGCAGCTGTCGTACTGCTGTTGCGAACCGATCTTCTTTCCTCACCCTCAATGTAAACTGTGCCATGCAGACCCTTGCATGCCTCCAGTGTGTGGTTGTTGACAGTATGAGTGGGACAGGTAGGGCTTACGCTGCAAGACGGCTTTGCGGGAATCTAGCCCATGCGGAAGGACGAAGTTGCTGTGATGGTGAGGGATTGGGACTCCCGCTGCCTCTCCGATGCCTCCCCGATGCCTGATGACGGTGGCTGTCACGATTGCTTGGTCTTGTTTGTGTTTGACGGGTCTAGCAAAAAGCACGATATCGCCTCAGGATCAGTGTCTGTCCATTCCAGTCGAAGCGTAGTGTTCGATAGGCAGAGGTTGGCCCGGGTTGCTCTCGTCTTGGGTGCATACGGTGTGTTATGTTCCGTATTGTGAACTCGGGGCGCTGTGATGAGATGACACGGAGTTTCGGCAGAATTTGCTGCATGTGTCGGCACCTTCTGGGGGCCTCAATCCTTTTTGATCTCTGCTGCTTTGGACTAGAAAGTTTCAGCGTCAATCCAAGCATCCCCCGCTTAGCACTCACTGGCCGTTTTGTGCTGGAGGCACCGAACCGCAACGCTCCGCGGCACGCACTCACTCAGGCCCATGTAGAGAAGCCGATCACTTACTTCATGGTAAGGCGTGTTTGGCTTGGGCTTGCTTTGCCCAATGTTGTATTGTAGTGCTGCCGCTTGCCAGCCTGCCTCCTGCTGCGAGCCTCGACGCGTCTGCACACCCTGCCAAGCCTGGACTGCTGACCCGAGCACTTTTTGGACGGATGCACAGCGCCAAGGTCCGGCTTCAGCGAGGGGTTCGGCAACGCCTTCAATGGCGCCTGCTGCGGACTTGCCGCGGCAGGCTGCCCGGCAGCCCTGCATAGAGTTCGGTTCGATCGGTTCGACAGCTCCACAAAACCTCCCGCTCCACCTTTTTCCAGGCAGCGCTGCGCTGGCGCTGCGCCGAGCCCAGCGGAGGCCTCGGCCGCCAGGTGCGATGGGCCTAGGCAACTCAAAGCCGGCGAAAGCAACTGAAAGCAGCTAGCGAAAGTTTCTCCAACCTGAAATCCGCGAAAGCCTGCCGAAGCCGAAGCCCCAGGAAGAATCAGTAGATTCCCAAGTTCGTATCAGGTTAGACTCAATTGCATCTCAACTTCCGGAGTTCTACCGGCTTCTTGCACTGGTACTATGGCCCTGCAGTGACCAGCGGGTGGCGGAAGTGGCTGCGAAGCACAAGACCCGCAGAGGCCGCTCCGGCCAGCGCAGGCGGCCCTGAGATTGAAGGGCTTTGAAATGTTTTGAGAAAAGCTTCCGTCTAGGTCTGCTAGATGTTGGAATGTCGCTCGGACGTCGGGTTCTGGGGATTCTGCGAGAAGATGCAGGAACATACTCGCACAGACGGGCACAACGTAACTGGAGGCACCAGCACCAACGCCCCTCCGACTCCATTGGTCCTGGTGGTGAACTTGGACCGGAGTCCAGCTCGATGGGAGTCTGCCCAGGACTGCCCACATTGTTGCGTGTACGCCTAGGGAACTGACACATCATAATCGTGTAATCCTAAGTTAAGATGTGAAGTGAACAATCTTGGCGGGAACACTAACTGACCAGGAAATCCAAGAGTCTAGTTCCAAGCCGTGTGTCGACCGCCGAGAGGAAACCATAAGACTTCTATTAACGCACCTTGAGACCCTGTGCTTCGCATGAGACCCTGTTAACGCCTGGTCTGGATAACACTCGTCTTTTCATGAGTCTTGCCACTGGAGCTGGAACGAGCTGCATGAGTCTTTTGTCTTCATCTCCAAGTCTAGGGTCTTTACCTCACCAGCTTGTGCCTTTTGATAGACAGACACTCGCGACTTGGCGCTGCCAGGTGGAGTTTGCACGTGAGGATTTGAAGGCAGCCTTCTGGGACTTGTGATTGCAACAGAAACACTAGTGAGAGACAGTGGATCGGCATGCCTCGGCCGGATTGTCCGACGGTGAGCGATGAACGAAGCTGTTGTTAAGATGGCCCTTTTGCCTTCCTACACACGCCCTCGCAGAGCAAAGCTATGCAAAGCTGGTCAGGTAGAGCGCTTTCCCGGCACAGATGGCAAGGCCATGACCCACGAGCAGCTGAGGGACGTGGCCACCTGCTTGAGCCTCAGAAGATGTACTCAAATGCTAGAATAATCGCAGCAGCAGGCTAACAGTGCTAAAAGTGGTAGTAGGAACATAGTAGAATGTATCTTGGCATAGCCAGTTCTTCTCGTTTATCATTCGTTGTCTGACAGTCAGTACAATCCCTGTCACTGTGCTGGTTTCGACTGATGGTATTTGTTCTCCGTTATTTCTTCTTATCATTAGGGTCTCACGTTTGTACACCGCATGTCCTGGGAGCTACCCTAATAAGGCTACACGGAGAGATCTCAAAAGCCTGAGTTTCCTAAAGAAAGGGCTAACCAAAAAAAAATGCGTCAACTGCTTCGCTTGAGGGTCAGCGCGATGGCCTGGGGCCCAGCACAGCCTCGTGGGCCGCTGCTGTTTGCCGAGTGATTCGGGTTGTCCCAAAAGGAGCTGCTTGCTGAAGACTGGACCTTGGTTCGAAGTTTGAGACGTTCGGGTTCCGGCTTGCAGTTGCATTCTTGTCGTCGTCTCATTTGGAAGTCGCCTTCTGTGGTTGGCTGCTAAGTAGTCGATTGGTGCAGTAGAGCTGTCAGCGATGTCAGTGCTGGGTGCCATGCTACATCGGGCAGCTGCTTGGGCCTACAGCCACTGCACGGCGGAAACATTAGACTCAAATGGTGCAGCCCAGCTCGGCGTGACTGACTTGCGAACGTGCAGGAAGCAAATTCCCAAGAAGTAGTTTGAGTTGACGTGCTCATGGGGTGCTCGTACTTCAGTTGCAGTTCAGCCCGCACTTTACACAGTTCTTAGGGGATCGCCTCCTTTTTCTTCGATCTTTTCGCATCCTTCGCCACTGGTGCCCGCAACGGCGCGACGCTGGCTTTGGCTGCCCCGGACCTGGGTGCAGACCCACCTGGTCCCTCGAGGAGCAGACTTTAATTTGCTTCACATGATTTCAGCATTCACAGGGCGTTCTCCACCAACTTAGCCATTTTTAATTTTGCCTTTCCTTTCAGTTCACATTGCCAGGCAGAGCCATGGCAAGCGAAGGGTACCCGGAGGGTGAGGCCAAGGCCAAAGTCAAAAAGCCTAGGCCTCTCCCCCCGCCACCGCCCCCATCCCTGGCCACAGCGTCCCTTCTGGTGCGGGGCGCAGCTGCGCGTGTCCTGGGCCTTCAGCCCGGGCCCTGTGGGGGTGAGCTGCAACCCATTTGGGTCTCCGAGCCCGGATGCTCTAAGCTGACCATGAGCTTGGAGGGCTCCACACGGTCGCCATTCCCGAAAGACGAGCTGCACAGCGCGCTGCTGACCGCCCTTGAGGCCGAGACGAACCGCCTCGCTGCAGAGGGCGGGGCCATCGCAGTTTGGGAGATGGACAGGCCCGAGGCGGAAGCCAAGTATGGTGAGGCCATCTACGAGCCCAAGTCACAGCGTCCAGAAAAGTTGCGGCTGGCGCATCTGCCTGGAGCCGCCCTTCTGGAGATCCCCAACAACTGGACACTGTGTTCTGCAATGGGCGACTGCGGCAAGATCGAGTTTTTGCAGAAGGAGGTCGAAGCTGGCTCCAAGAAAAAGCCTGATACCATGATCATGGCCCCGCGCTCAGCAAGGGCTTGCTGACTTTGCCTGTGCCTTCTCTTTTGCACATCTGGCGTGCAGCTTTGTTCGGTTGCTTGAGGCAAAAAAGAAGCAGGTAATCGTGAAGTTTAGCGTTCAGAACCCCGACGCAGCTGCGGCTGACATGCAAGGAGATGCACCCAGCGAAGAGCCCAGGCTAAATCAAGTGCCTCAACTTTTTTTGAGTTTTTTCGTCTGCTGACAGTACTTATATAGAGGTCAGCCATGAGCTTTTCAGGGTGGCTGCAATGCTCAACTGAACTTGTACAGTAGCTGGAAACTCTGATCGCAAGAAGGAAGTGGCAAAGACACTTTCCGACAACACTGTCCGTCCCTTTGCGGCAGAGCATTGCTCGATGTTGTTGGGGTCGAGAACTTCCTGGGAAGAAGTCGTTTGCTGGCTTCGGGTGAGACAGATGGGATGTGCTCCAGCTCAGCCGAATTCGAGGTGTGGCCGTTGTCGGCGTCGATGTGCCCGATGCCGCCAAGGAGGTAGGACATCCGGAAACCTCAGTGAGCTTTGTGTGTGCCGGGCTTGTCCTGAGGCAGCCAAGGCTTCCACTGCAGCAGCGGCTCCTACCGAAACCGAAGAGCAGGAGGCAGGTTCATCTTTTCGCGAGGAGGGTGTGACGCAAAAACCGTGGATACAGCAGGCCGAAGCCACGACAACCCCCAGCCCCCGCCCCGCACATCCCGTGACGGCTGCAATTACACTGGTGCAGTGGGGCCTCAGCGTGCCTCAGCCTTTGGGTCTTGCATGGCCCTGCGATGTCTTGCTCATCAACCATGCAAAAAAGCGGCCTCGTGCAACAGTTGTATATTTCAGTTGGAACGAGCCGCAGTGGTCAGTGCATGCACTGCAATTCTTGTCACCTGTAGTTTCGTCATGTCAGTCAAGGCGTTTTCGAAGTCTCATGCGTTGTGAGGCTGGCGAAATGGTGGTCGATCCTTGGTCCGTGAAGGGACACTTTGCTGAATCTTCGCTTCCGGGTCCTTTCCAAGCATCGCTACCTGTATGTCGTTTCAAGAGTAGCTTGTCACCCAGACCTACTTAGACCTACTTACCTCCCACCTCCCTTCGCAATCCGCTTGCATGGCCCGGTGGGTTGCGGCTGCTCTCTGCTGTCGGATGACGGGTGATGACGGACCATTGGCGCCTAGGGCGCCTAGAGGCCTAGATCCTGTGAAGCTGTGGAAGGCAAGATCGACTATGAGAAGCTGGTGCGGGACTTCGGCTCCACGAAGATCTCCCCGGAACTGTTGGAAACTCGGCATCAGGAAAAGACAGGCAGGATCAAGTGTAGTTGTTGCACATAAGTCAGCGCCAAGTGCTGGCTGCACCCGCTGGATCCGGCTGGTCTAACTGCCTAACTTTGACTTGAGGCATGCATTGAACCTGAGCCACCGTTGTCAGCCGTCTCTGCCGATGCGACGGTCGTTCATCCCGGAGCCACACTAAGCAAGCCGGAATTCGCGGCGCGAAGCTCTCACGGTAGTACACTAGTGACATTAGACATCGTAAGCGGCCTTGGAAGTACCACCTTCACCGTTTTCTGACTACTGATGTTCATCTCGAAAACCAGGCAGCGACTCACGTCAGAAATCTGTAGAAGAGCAGCTGCAAACAGGGAGTTCGCGGTTGGGCTCTTAAGCTTAGGGTTGAGAGTTGAGCGGCTTTTGGGCCTAGGGTGATTCTAGGCGTGTCCCTCGCAATTTTGTGAGGGTTCTTCGGGGGGTTTCTAAGTTGGGGACGGGGCCAGTGTCTCTGAGGACAGTGGTTCGACAGTCCGATGCAAAGAATATGTAAGCCGTGTAATGAACAAAAACGGCGGGGGGGGGGGTGGGGTTGCCCCGAGTCAGAAATTTCTCTAAATTCCTGTTGTTCCTCTTGCGCATGTAGGCTTTGACCCCCCTCTCTGCACAGAGCCCCGAGGAGAGGATCCGGAAGCTGACGGTGGGAACAGGAGACGGCTTCATTCCTGTAGAGAGAGATCCTTTGGCTCATGTTTGCACGTGTCTACTCCCAATTTTTTCATTGCGGAGGCCGAGTGTCTGACTTGCACTGCTGGCTGCTCCCTGACGGCAGAGTCGGCAGAGTCAGGGTTCAAAGCACGCACCGCAAGAGGCCAGGCAGCCAGGCAGAAGCAGCATCTGAGGCGGAGAAACATCTTCTTCTCCCACCGTGAGCTGGACGCAATCTGCGCCCTGCAGGCTTGTTCATGGGCATTGTTCAGGGACTAGGGTAGGGGTCAGCCTGTCGTGTCTTGCCAAAGTACAAAGGAGAAAGGCATGCCCTTCTACCTCTACACTGGTAGAGGCCCGAGCTCAGCAGTGTCTCAGCTTGAGTGGAAGTCTGCAAGTTGCAAACTGCATGGTGCAAGCGCATACGGTGAGCGCTTATGCTGGTACTCGTAGACGAACCGGACACATGAACTTTTCCTCAGTGTCGAACTCACCGTACGCAGCAAGGATCCTTGCGGCCGCGTTTCTTCATACTGGTCCGCTAATGGTGTTCTGAGGCCATGCATCTGGGGCACTTGCTGCCTTTCATGTTCACCCAGCCGCTTGGGAATGCCATTTAAGGAGCGCGCAGGAATCTTAGCCTTAGGGCCTTAGGGTAGTCTTAGGGTCTCAAAGCAGAAGGACTCATTGAGACTTTGGCGAGTTTCCGGCACTTTCTCCTCCCATTCTAGGTGGTTGCAGAAGGCCTTCAATGTACCACTGGTCATCCAGATGACAGATGATGAGAAGTTCCTGTGGAAGGCGCGCTGTTGATCCAGTCCTCAGCTCACTTAAACACCCCACACGGCCATGGCAACCTGGTGAAGGGTGAGTACGATCCGGAGAAGGGAGACAATCTGTGCCTTGGCAAGATCTGAGGCCATGAACTATCTTCGGGACTTTGCTCTTGCTCAGCTATTCTTCTTGCGCCAAATTCTCCTGTACTTAACTGCAGAGATTCCCGCGCCCCCAGAAACTGAACATCCCTTAGCCCAGAGAAGCCCTCTGAGTGCCCAGCCCCCGATATCTCCACAGAGTATCCCTGAAATCCAGTCGATCACTGCAGTGCCCGTCAATTTGTCAATTGATGCTGAGGGGTCTGTACCGGCGATACACGGTGGAAAATGCCAAAGACATCATCGCCTGCGGTTTTGACAAAAGCAAGACCTTCATCTTCTCCGATTGCGAGTATGTTGCTTGGCGGGTTTCTACCGGGGGTTGCCTTGTTGAACAGACACGCTTGACAGAACATGACAGAACATCGCTGCTCAGTTAATCAGCTTAGTTCAGTCATAGTTTCATAGTTCAGTTTGACAGTTGCATGTCCAATATCGGGATGACAGGTGGGACACATGTATCCCAACATCGTGCGAACTTGGAAAGCGATTACGTACAACACAGCGAAATCCGCGGTCCTGGCATGTTGAAAGATGCGCAGAAGCTCAGAGCAAAAATGGGCGGTTGTGCCGCGTGGATTAGTGGCCCACATGTGGAACTCACCCACGAATATGAGTGTGTCGCAGCCGCTGAGACGAGCGCCAGGCATTCGGCTTCCAGGGAGACTCGAACATTGGGCAGTCTGCTTTCCCGGCCATCCAGGCAAGATCCGCAGACAGGAAGAGCCCTCCTCTAGGCAAAACGCGTGTCAGGCGGTTCCATCCTTCTCCTCGTCTTTCAGAGTACCCCTTGGGGACAATGAGCGTTTGCCGTGCTTGCCAGAGCCTCAGCACTCCTGGTGCTCAAGTTTAGGGGCAGATACAATGATCACAGTAGCCTTGATGCCTGCAAGCGTGGATAAAGAAGATAAGGGTGTGCAAATCCGTTCCAAGGATCCCGTGTGCCATTGACCAAGATCCATACTTCCGGGCGCCTCGGCTTAAAAAATTCCCTTGCGATTGCCCTCCGTCCATTCGAATGTTGCCCCACGCTGCGCTCGCAACACTCACTTGCAGACTGCTGCACCCACCTGATGCAGTGGCCAGGTCACTCGAGACATTGCCCACAAGCTGGTTCCGACTCTCGGCTTGCTGTGCTTTGTCATTGTAGAAAAACTCAAAGCAGAAAACGAAGGAATCCCGAAATTAGGGGTACCTTCTTGGGGTCCTGGTGGTAAGGGAATCCTACTGTCTGGGGTTTATATTAGGGGTCCCTAAACCCAAAACCCTAAACCCTGAAACGGGTGGGAAAAAACCCTAAACCTGAAACCCTAAGCCCCCAAAATGCCAGGAAGGACCATCCTCTCAAGGGCAAGCCTTCGTTGATCCATTGCAGCTGGGCTCCTATTGAGAAAACCATGGTTTTAGGGTTTAGGGTTTGGGGTTTGGGGTTTAGGGTTTAGGGTTTAGGGTTTAGGGGCATCTTTTTGGAGTCTGGGTTTACAACAAGGGGCATCTTCAAAAAAGCAGGCCAACCATGGGGAACGTCTCAGCTTGCCCAGGCAAGTTCTTCCCACCCTTGACCGGGGCCGATGGCAAGATGGCGGCCTCGGACACGAACACCGCTTCTTGGACCAAGATGGCTACAACTTGAGGGGCGTCTTGGGTTGAAGGTTTAGGGGTTCAGGGGTTCAGGGGTTTAGGGTTTAGGGTTTAGGGTTTAGGGTTTGGGTGCTGCAGCTCAACACAGAGAGATGCAGCGCATTAGGCATGCATGTGCAAGCTTGAGGCCATCTTCCTGACAGACACGCCAGAGGAAATTGAGAAGAAGATCAAGCAATATGCTTTCTCAGGCGCTTGCTTCATGTGTGTCGTCCATGAACGGCTTGCCGGACTACACTCTCTTCTGCCTGCGTGTGCTTCGAAAGGTTTGCACATGTTTGCACTTCCTGCTTGGCATGCTTCTTTGAGTCATTTTGAGTCATTCATGACCGAAGTGCGGTTTCAGGTTGAAGTGTTGAACAGGTGGCAGGCAAACGGCCAAGGAGCAAAAAGAGAGAGGAGCCGATCTCGTGGCCGGGCCTTATCAGTTTGGCAGCTTCGTGCGGCGTACGGCATGGTGGAACTTTTGGTGTGCCCAAAAGCGCAGAAGCTCAAAAAGCGATGGCTGACGCCCAAGGACGTGGACGTGTCATACCAGCGGCTTGTCACCGAATGAACCGTAGCCTGCACCTTTCTCCTTGTGGCATGCCGCATCGTGGTGTTGAATCTGCTGCAGTATGTGCGCGGGTTCTTTGAGTCTTGGGCTTCGAATCCTATTTTGTTTAAGCTCTCTGGTGAATGCAACATGCCGCCGCGCATTGCGGAACCCAATATGTTCACTTTCTCCCCCCCTTGATTGATTGAATCTCTCCCGCAAGGGGCGAAACATGTTTGCAGCGGGTTCGGGGTTTAAAGGGGCTGTAGTCTGCCTGTGTTTACAACGGCTGGCCTCTTCTTAACCCACAAACCAGAATAATTTGTGTTCCCGGGAAGTGTTATTTTGAATTGAGGGGGTCGGGTTGTGATTGAGTTCCGACACTGGTTTTTGTTTGTTACATTTTTATAAACGGCAGTTCTACATTCTTGTAAACATCGCCGATACATCTGCAGCCGACGCTCATGGCTTAACATGATTTAACATGTACGTACGACACAGGTTAACAGCTTGCAGTCGAGGTGGCTCAAGTTCTTCTTAGACGACGATGTGGAACTCCGGAAGATAGAGGACCCTGCGTTTGCTCACAAGCCCTGAGCAAGATACGAGAGACACTTGTACATGCAGCAAGGAGCAAACCAGGTCCCTGCGACATGTACAGGTTGCGCGGTATCTGGGATGCAGGAGCAGTACGGATCAGGAAAGGGAGAGGAGTACTGGAACACCGGACAGGCGAGGCTATGCATCAGTTGGTGATGTTGTCGCAGTTCATGTCTTGAAGTCTCGGGCAGGTGAAGAACAAGCTCATTGAGGTGCTGAAGGTATTGGTGAAGCGACATCAGGAGACGGCACATGAGCGGGAGAGGTGGTTTTGGGTGGCACTGGACAGCAGGCAACTCCAAACATTTTTGCTTCGATCATCCCCGCTCACGTGTCACGGTTGCCTCCAGGAATACTCTGGTGGGATTGGACACTACAGGGATTCACTGGGGGTCAACACGCCAGGCATGCTGGGTGGGATCTTCTGCAGGATTCTCGGCTCTGCAGGGGACGCTCTCTGCGAGGGGTGGGCACTCCAGAGACATGCGGGATTTTGGGGAATGGGTGGGCAGAGTGCGAGCAGGCTAGGAGACCGGGCGGGGAAAATTCAACATCCCACAAGCCCAAGGGTGACGGTGACAGTGACAGGACCCCCACGACACTGAAGCAGCCTGGCAAAACCCACACACCTCCGAAGTAGTCCCCACAGTGTACGCGACTGCTGGGCGCCCACTGAGATGACAATGACCGTAGCTATACATTAGCCTTGGCAGCTTGAAAGCCTTACAGATGGCGAGCAGGATAGAATGTACATGCCAGGAGATCCGGGCCAAGATCACTGACGAGGAGGTGGCGGAGTGGATGGCGGTGCGGAAGTTGGACTTCTGAGCGCGTAGAGCCCTTGGAGCTTTGGAGCTTCCTGGTGGCAACTGCTTGGACCGTTTTGTGGAAGTGCAAGGCCTTCAGAACGCAAAGGCGTCAACAACGCAACTGGAATGCAGAACAAAACATTCATTGACATCGTGAGCTTCTTTGACGCCTTTGGCAGTTCGTCTATACTCACACACACATACTATATGGTTATATATATGAATTGATATGTCTGCTCTAGCACGAGAACCGGTAGGGGCCGACCCTACACCGATACCCAACTTCTATAGATAGTTCCCGCATAACCGATAGGACCCCGACCCTCTTCCACGCGACAGTTTTTCTATTATATTATATTATATTATACTATAGTATACTATACTATATTGTAGCATATTAGATTATATGATGTAATATTATGTATGTATATTTCTTTCAACTCCGCTGCCTGAGCCGAGGCCGCTGAAAGCAGTCAGTACTTCTGAGCTGGCAGACGCCTTCGCCAGAGCAGGGGAAGTGACGGCCGGCATGTCCCTCGATAGATATATATATATATATATGTATGTATGTATGTATGAGTATGAATATATACGTATATATATATAGAGTCCGGGGGACTGTGGGAGTGCACTTTTTTGTGTCTTTTTATATTTCATGAGGTTTGCCATGTTACACAACTCACTACTGTAGATAGAAACGCCACACCCTAAAAAAATCTATAAGTCTACTTATCAAATAGTGAATGTATAGAACCCAATAGACTGAGACTACCATGATTCCAAATCTTGTTATTAGTTGGTGAATATAGATTCCAAGTCTTGCTTATTGAGGGTGAATTCGTTATGAGGGTGGCTATTATGATTTCAAGTCTTGCATATCGGGATGGTGAATATAGATATCAAGTCTTGCTTATTGGGGGATGAGTGTAAGTTCCAAGTCTTGTTTATCAGGAAGCGAATGAGTTATTAGGGGACAAGTTACTTTTTATTAGTCTTGCTGATTGGTGTGGGGTGAATGCAGCTCTTCAGTATTGCTTTTTCGAGGGGGGTTGAATACGTGACTGGTGGACGAATACCTGGGTTGCATCAATATGGCTTTTGTAACACGTTGCATCGGAACACCGTGTTTTGTTCACAAAAAAACAGACTTTTAAAGCAGAGTTCACACCTGCAACTCTATAAAACAACGGTTTATCTGAGATGCATATACAAGCTATGGGAATGACCAATGAATGATTCCTGTAACTCAAAAAGCACGTAAACTTACGAATGTCGGCAAAAATACATGTAGGTGAATCTGTGTCTATAGATGAAAGAGCAATAAAACTCACAAACACCATGCATACAATAAAGAGTCAACGACATTATTTAACGCCTCTAACTACACGAAACATTATTCTGGCAGCAATTTTACTGCATAAATATCTCACAAAACCTCTAGCCAAAAAATGAAGCTATAGAAGCTAGGCTAGAATGGACTGGACTTTTTTATAGCATATACATTTAACAAAGCAAATACAAGTTGTGCTTAAATTTGAAGTGATACTGAAAAACTCATTCTGAAAGCCTATTACTATAGTAGACTTTTGCACAGCACTTTAGATGCGGCAAATAATCTAGAGAGCACTCTACTGCACTATTAACAGTTTCCCAATAAATTATAGATCAATCCATAAGACAAAGAGCCTTAAACTCAGATATTATATATATATATATGTGTATAGTAATAATCATCATCATTTTTGTCGATTGGGTTTGTTATCCCATCTTATCATACAAATTTATATATCTTGATTAATGAGTTTAAAAAATGCTTAAAGCAAAATACTAAAAACTCCAACAAATAACGCGCTTGGAACTCTTACAGAAGCTCCTCTTAGTAAAGGGAACAAGATAAATCACAAGATATTTTTATGTATGGGCAAACTCTGCTAGATTTGACATACAATGCAAATTACATCAAAAAATGGGCAAGTATAGAAGATCTATATTAGAAGAAACAGCTAGAACAATAGCTAGCTTAGAAGTCAAATTATTAAACCAACCCTGCATGAAGGAAAGCAAATATCAAGCCATAACGGTAGGCACCCTATGATACAAAGATTTGTCAATAAAGTCGCCTTGATTTTTATACATAGTGATTGTGGATTTTTCATAGTGCAGATGTTTATCACACCTGTCTCACTGAAACACACTAGTCAGCAAAAGCTTTCGCAAAATATGAGCACCGTGTGGTCTTGCTTATGGGGGGGGGGGGCAAATCCATCATCGGTAGGTTGTCCCAGTAGCTGTCCTTCATTTTTCCGGAAGCGGCGCGCGCGAGGTATTCTACTGGAGACTTCCGGAAGCCCCGCGCTGGAGAATCGAAAAACCAAAAGAAACAAAACAACAAAAAAAACTCAAAAATCCAGGACTCCTGTAGATTGGGCCCTGGATGGAAGAGTCCAGAAAAACTTATAAAAAACTCAGAAACTAGAAAAAATGCAAAAAACTCGAAAAAAAAAAAAAACAACAACAACAATTTTCCAGCACTCCTGCAGATTGGGCCCTTGATGGAAGAGTCCCTGGAAATTGGTTTTTTTGGTGTTGTCGAGTTTTTTCGAGTTTTTGCATTTTTTCTAGTTTTCCTCGAGAAAACCAAAAAAACCAAAAAAACCAATTTTCCAGGACTCCTGCAGATTGGGCCCTGGATGGGGCCCTGGATGGAAGAGTCCCTGGAAATTGTTTTTTTTGGTTTTTTTGGTTTTTTTGGTTCTTTTGGTTCTTTTGGTTTTTTTTTTTTTCTTTTTTGTTTTTTCGAGTTTTTGCATTCTTTTATAGTTTTCCGAGTTTTTTTTTAAAGTTTTTCTAGTTTTCTGCGTTTTTTCGTATGAAAAGCATGTATCGTGTAAGGAAAAATTGCCGGAAAGCGCACTCCCACGGTCCCCCGTTTTGTATATATATATATATATATATCTATATCTATATACATAAGAATGCCTGGAGCAGTTTTCAAGGGATTTCAGGCAGATGTCAGGGAATGAATGCATATGATTCTACGAATGTATGAAATATCTATTTATATCTATCTATGTATATATATATATATATGTGCTTAGCAGTTAGCAGTCGCCAGTCTACTTGGTACAGTGCCGTTTGCTTGCCTTGGTCCGGCGTTGTGCTGTACAGTGCCATGAGGACCCACTTGCACAGTTTTTTGGCATCTCACTGTGCAGCTCGTTTTGCGGGCTGTCTCATGCTGAGGCAGGAAAGGAGGCAGGGTGGATGCGGTTCAGCTTTTGCGTTCGGGTATGGGGAATGTAGGAATGTTGAGTGCCAGACCCGCGCTGGCTAAAAGGAATAAATTGCGGAACCTTGGATACTGAGGGAGAGAGGCCTCATCCAGTCTGCTTTGTTGTGTCAGCTGCTCGCCCTTCCGTGGTGCCACGAGGCAGCATCCCAAAAGAAAAGCCCGCAGGGCACACGACACAGCATCGAACACAACAGTAGACGGCGCATTCTGTCCTCTGAGTCGGATCCCGAGGTTCTGCACCAAGGGCATGGTTGGCTGCTTTATGAGCCACCGCCGGATCTGGCAAAAGGCCCGCAAGAATTGTCACCAGATGAGACGCCTGGCAATGGCCATTCCTGGTCATCGAATAATGCTACGAACGCCCACTCATTATGCAAGTGCCTGCGCAGGTTGCTGACGAGGACTTGCCGGCAGTTGTCGTGCTGGAGGCCATGCACTTACCTCAAGCTCCCGTTCGCGACACTGCACCGGCTGCCGCCATGTCTGTGAGCATGTGCCACTGTTGGCTTCAAGCCTACACCACAGGATTGGGTGTAATTAGTGTAACGTGCAGAGTAGAAGCTAGAGAAGTTGCCGTACCTGGGACAGGATGATGTCCGGCTCGTTAACGGCTTCAAGAATCGCCTGGGCGAGCTCATGTCAAACCTGCCAGAAGACTGGGAGGCTGGGGGTGTGATTACAAATATGGATGGATTCTCGCTTCACTGCACGAAGCCGGCATGCAAACACAGGTTTGCCTGCTTGGTGCGATCGTCTCTCGTCAGCACCGGATTGGTTCGCCAGATCAGTGCGGCAGAGTGTGCAGATGTAAAAGCAGGAAACTGATCTCTTGACTAAGGGCAACGTCAATCCCGTGAAGGAGCCGTCCTACATGAAGTGGCTCAGACGGAGAGAGATGGGTTAATTGTAGCACACCATGACGTTGCTCCCTTCTGAATGAAGCGTCTTCCTGCGTTCACGACGCCCCTGCAGTTCAGTTTCCAATGCTTTTGGATCCTCCAGTGCTTGTTTCGATAAGGGGCGGGGACAAATGACACATGTCAGGTTCTACTCCTTCTGCTGCTTGGCCAGAAATCATCCACTTTCGTGCGCAGGGTTGGGCGCATATCGCCTTTTACTGCAGAGCTGCAGACAAGTAGAGCTGCCCTCCTGCAAGATCTGGATCAGTGGTCTTGCCCCATTTTCCTGCTTATAGACTTTGGCCGCTGGAGCCATGGGCTGTTCTGCCGGATCGCCTATGAAGGACAAGGCTGGTGAGCTTCAGGGGGCAGATAGGAAAGGCTTGCGAGGGTTATGCATATGTTCAAGAGAGTTCAAGGATTCAGTGCCAAGGTGAAGCTGGAAGCGCTCCAGAACATGCAGGCCCGGTTCCCTTTGCGACGGCCCGCCTTGCCCGGAGACGTCCTTGTCAGTGGCAATCTGCCCTCCGATGTGGTGGGGCAGCTGGCAAGTCACTGCAAGGGATGGCTCTATCTGAACGAAACCTCGGATGAGCACTACTTCGCAGCACCCATCCGAAGCAATGGCTGTGTGCTGGAGGTCGTCCCCTTCAAGCCGAGCAAGGACTTGCCAATGCGAGTGGTCGAGGAAGTGGTCAACTGCATCGACCGGTTGCCTCGGCCTTTGATGATCCAGTGCACCAGCGCAAACCGGGCTGCCATTGCCATGTTGGCTTGGATGGCCAAGAGGAGTGGATACACTGCAGGCTCTGCAGAGCTGTTGGTCAGTGATCTCCAGATCGACACCGTGAAGCCCGAGGCACAAGCATGGCTCCAGTCCTTCTTGCCTTCCTTGGGAAAGAGGGATGGCGCTCCCCTCATTGAGCGGAGTCCGGAGGTGAGGCAATTCTACGACCCTGTGTCGAGCACTCTGACACTTGGACAATCTTGATACATGCGTGGCAAGTTTTTTGGCGAATTTATGGTGAGGTGGCAGACTAAGGGGGCCGGCCCCGCGGGGTCGGCCCCTCCTGGCCGTACCCACGTGGCCGTACGCGAGCCAAGGACATATTTGATTGCATGCCCAGCCACCAAACAAGCCGTGTTGATCGACCCGGTCCTGGAGCAGAAGGACCGTGATTTAAAGGCCATCGGCGATCTGGGACTACACTTGAAGTACGTCCTGAACACGCCCCGCGCTCAGAGGAATGTTCAGCCGATGTTCGACGTAGAAGATCGCGTCATGGCTCTCTCAGATGCTTTGTGCTCCTTCCCTAGGCACTGTCACGCAGACCATGTGACGTCCGGAGCTGCTATTCGCAAAGACTTCCCCCACGTCCAGACCATCATCTCCAAGTCTTCAGGGGCCGAAGCGGATATCCACATTCAGCACGGGGAGGAGGTAGGGTTCGGCGACCTCTCTTTGGAAGTCCGCGCCACCCCAGGCCACACCGATGGCTGCGTGACTTACATCTTGCGGACCCGGACGGCTACCTTTGCGTTCACAGGTGACACCCTGCTGGTTCGTGGATGTGGAAGGACCGACTTCCAGCAAGGAAACTCCTTCACGCTCCATGCCAGCGTGCACGAGCAGATCTTCACCCTCCCGGATGATACGCTCGTCTGCCCTGGTCATGACTACAAGAACAGGGGTTCCTCCACGGTCCTGGAAGAGAAGATGCTGAACCCTCGGCTGACCAAGTCTGCAGAGGAGTTTGCCAAGTTCATGGAAGGCCTTGGGCTGCCGAACCCCAAGCAGATTGACATCGCCGTGCCCGCCAACATGGCCTGCGGCGTGCATTTTGATGCATCTGAGATGCTTCCGATCTAGGATTGCTGCAGAGTGACATGGTAGTGACAATGTCGTGAGAGTGGCACCTTGGGCCCAATTCTGGCGCAGAGAATGCTTGAATTCGGTCTTGACTCCGCCGTTGACATCCTGCTTCTGTCATTGCGCAGAGAGCGAAGCTCGGAGTTCAAAGTTCAAACAGTACCCTTTTGGCATTTGCTTTTTCATCTGGTGCGCCTTTCCTCGGTCCCACCAACGTGGGAGGGTCTCGGAGCACGGGAGCAACACATAGCAATATGCTTCCCACAGGCAAGCTTCACTCCCTCTCCAGGGAGCATGTCTCTGATTTTGCCTGTCATCCTGACTTCCGCCACTGTGCGGAAAGCCAAGATTCGGATGCTGCCACTGTAGCTGAAAGAATGTTTTGGAGCTGCTGAAAGGCTGAAAGAATTCACAGGGCCGTCCCCGTGGCCACTTCCACTGTGTCGGGCTGTTTGGAGGCTCCGGTGGCGGCCGGCCATCTCCCGGCAAGACCCGGACGGTGGCGCCCAGTGCTTACTGAAGTCTTGGCCGAGAGTTGTTGTTTGTCAAGACGGAGCAAACATGAGCGAACATGAGCAAACATGAAAGTGCGAAACGGCAAAAGTACAGAGTGGTTGATTGGTTGATGCCATGGCTGCCATGGCAGTTTGCAAGGCCAGGCGTGTTCGTCCCGCACCGGCCAGCAGGCCGCCGCCGCTTGTTGAGCCTGCAAAGTCTGCTTCCTCAACATACTGCTGCCTCAACATGCTGTGATGACGCCCGAGCCCCTGCAGGTACGCACGCGTACATGGTGTCTCGTCTGGATATGGGGCATTCTGGACGACTGTCCCCTTAAGCCAAGCATCCCAAAAGGAGCTTTTCCATGGCGCTCAACCTTGCATGCCGTGCTCCTCATCGCTAGGGCCTATAGGGTTATCTTGGTTGCAAGGTTTTAGGTGGATGCCGAGGTCTCCAACCGAGGTGCGAAGCGCCTCTTGGAGGAGGGGGGCACTCCAAAACTGAATTGAGAAGCTGGTGTCGGATTCCACAGACCTGGACAGGAGCTGCCGAAAGCGTGCTACCACGTAGATCTCACAGCCCACAGCTCGGGTGAACATAAGCTCGGCCAGGGGCATGCAGAAAGCGTACTTGCGTGTAAGTGTGAACGCTTGCGCGCGCCGCCTCGGCAGCCGGGCCGACCCAACGGGGGTGTACTGTAGCATGCGCCAGCAGTCCTAGGAGGGTCCAAGAGGGGAGGGAAGGGGTCTCAGGGCTTTCGTGCGTTTTGGCATGGCCTCTTGGAAGCCAAGGCGAACTAGCGGCTGTAGCCTTCCAGTGGCGAGGGGCGCTTTGTGGTCAGTTTTGTGAAAGGCATTGCGTCACACCACTCTCGGCGGAAATGAGCGTGGGCTTGTCCAGTTGGGTGGGGCTTTTCGCAGCCTCTGCTTGTATTGCTGGAGCAGCCAAAGCTTGAGCCAAAGTCCTACGCACCAAGGCCTGGGCGCTTCCCAAACTGAAGCTCTACGCTGCGACAGATCAGCTTGCCACACAGGCAGGGCCCAAGCTGGGTTTCGGGTTTCGGGTTTTGGGTTTTGGGGATGTTTCTGATGTTCTGGTCGTTGTTGCCAAAGCTGCCAGAACGTATTTGTCTGTACTGTGGGAGCCTCGTTCTTTCAACGTATTTCAAGGTAGGCTTGCAATGAAAGGCCACGTAACCTTGGTGACGAAATCCCGAAATTTGCCAGCCTGTGCTTCAGGACTTTGAAGCTGCCTCAACAGTCACCTCCTGAGTGGTTTGGTGTGCAGCAAGAAACCACCAGAAGAGACCACACTCCGGGGGAGTCGAAAGAACAACAGAAAGGACGGAGCGCGGCCGCCTGAAGAAGAAGAAGAAGAGGAAGAAGAAGAAAAAGAGAGTGGACGGAGCTTCGGCTCCCACACCCCAACGGACGAAAGAAAGTGCCCGTCCTCACGCACAAGTGGCAAAGGGCTTGGAACTGGGGGGGAATTCGTCTGCGCACGGAGCTTGCGTGCCTGCAGTACTCAAAACATAGCGGTGCCTGCAAGCCTTTGGATTACAAGGCAGGGGGTAAGGGTTTCACTGTATGACGGATGAGGGCAATGCCATTCCGAGGTGTCGAAGGCTGGAGAGCCAATTACGCAGCGATTTCTTCGGTGGGCCTGGACAATCACAGGTTCGCTCCCGGTGTGGCGTACGTTCTTTTACATCCAGAATGAAATCTACATAGAGGAACGTAATGAAACATGAGACTACACATGACCTAGCCGCATATTTGCCATTTACGCAGCGATTTCTTCGGTGGGCCTGGACAATCACAGGTTCGCTCCCGGTGTGGCGTACGTTCTTTTACATCCAGAATGAAATCTACGTAGAGGAACGTAATGAAACATGAGACTACACATGACCTAGCCGCATATTTGCCATTACACACAAACGCTACAAAAAGATTCTTACATTCTTGTAGGTAGCTCCTCTTTGGCCTTCAACTAGACCCATAGTTTCTCAGAAACCCGACAGCCGAGCTGTTTCTGCATTCTTGAGCCAGGCCTGGCCTCAATGGGAAAGAAGGGTGGCGTGCCGGGGCCTTTGGGCATTGATGCTGGCCTGCGGCGCAGAGGTTCAGCCTATCCCGCATCTAGTGAACCTAGTAGGCTGTGGCAGGTTCAGGGCTGTCAGGGTGCCCAATGATGCGCAAAAAGGTTTCTCGACACGTCAGGTGAGGCAACAGCATGAGGCCCTGACTCCGCTGCCATTTCTGTGACTGGGTGCTAGCCAAATCGGACACCCCTCCGCAAGCAAGTGGCTTGCCTGCAAGCAGCATGAGACATTCTTGAGGTGGCCTTCAGAGCCTGGGAAGTTTGCAGTCTGAAAGAGTGGTGCATCTTCACAGCCAAGGTACGTGCCAAATAGTCGTATCAGGACGCCCCCCCCCCGGGGTCGACAACAGACTTGTTTCACGCCTCCTGGATCTTGTGAAGGTGCCCTTAAAGGGGAGAAAGGGGGGAGAGGCATCAGAAGGCCCCCCAAAGTAAACAAGGTCCCAGCCCAACTCTGAAGGACGGCCTCGCTACTGTCACCATGGCTGGCCAGCCACAAAATCACTCCGAGGTTGCAACCGCCACATGGCTTCCTCATGCTCCCATATGCTTCCTTAAAAGCATGATCTGCGCTTTGGTTGCCGCCCCGGTCAGGGAAATTTAAGCCGAGGGTGCGCAAGCGGGCCAGAGGTGCGTGCTTCATCACGTGTTGGAGCTAAGGTGTGGCAGACCGTCCTGATCGGAGACCCTGCCGCACGAGTGGGTGCTGCAAACATGCAGAATTAGGCTTCCCCCGACGTTCCCTCAAGATGCGGCCTTGACGGCCTAGATTCCTGGATCCACGGCCGAGGAACCGTGTATATTGTGACAAGTTCTACTTTGATTTCGTTCAACAAGTTCCTGATGCAGCCAGGGAGGCGGGCACATGCGGCAGATGGCTGGTCCGGCAGAAGAAGTAGCTTCGTTGTTGAAATCGTTGTGATGAAATGTTGGCATTTGTCTTCTGCAGACTCTCGCTCGCTCGCTCGCACTCTCTCTCTCTCTCTCTGTCGCTCTCTCTCTCTCTCTCTCTTTCTCTCGCTCTCTCTCGCTCTCTCGCTCTTTTTGTCTCTCTCTCACGTCTCCCTCTGCGTTTGTCAGAGGTTCTCTCATGCCGTGCATCTCACAGCTATTCATATGGCCGAGACCTTGGCATAGTAGTTCTTCTCATGTGAGTTTTCACGTGCATCTTCTCCAGAGCCAATTTAGTGCGCAGTCTGTTGGAGAAGCCCATGCTTTGCTGCGCGAACCTTACGCTTGCTAACAGTTCTGTATTTGCCATGCAAACAGAAGTTCTGTGTGGTGCCGTTCACTATCCTTCACTTGTTTGAGTGTCAGCTCCAAGAGACCAACCTTTGAAGAGTCCCTACAACTCGGTCAAGATTTAGGTTGTGAGCAGCTATGAGCAGCTCAACGTCGACCCTAAGCCCTAAGTCTCCCAACCAGCAATTCGAACAACTTCGGCTAAGTAACCTGTGGTAGTCCCCAACAAAAGGCCTCGAAGGATAGCTCAAAGTAAGTTGGCCCCCGAGGTGGTGACCTTGTGCCTCTCACTGCTCTTCTACAGGGTGGCGCCGCAGCCCGGAGCTCGGATCATCCAGGGCCCAAGAAGGGGCTCGGTGAAACTGGGCCAATTGTCGGCGATAGAGAGTGACTCTGAGATACTCTGAGATACTCCGGTGCTTGGAGGGTTGCCCCATGTCGCTAGACGTCTGAGGCATTACCCATCCATGGGCATGGCCAAGGCACGCCTCAGGAACTGCACGAAGCCAACAGATGGTTCTAGGTTATGCCCGGCACGCCACCCGTGGTCAGCGAACGTGGCCCGGACTGGCTGAAAACACCCGGCATATTCTGCAACGGCACTCCAGCCACTGGAACTTGTGTAGCCTTGCCTTCAGGCCAACCTGTGGCTGATCGCGAAGTGGATCGCTCCTTTAGGTTTGCTGTTTGCCTTGGCCTTGTACTGCTCGACGCCTGGCCTGAAATAGATGCCACTTGAAGTTTCCAAGGGTCTGGAAAAGCCTGACGTCAGGGTTGTCCTAAGTTTTTAAGTCAGTCAGCTCGGGCAGAGTTGCGGGATCCAGACACGGCTCCAGGCGTGGAGCAGGGCAGAAGTGCAGCGGGCAGAGAGAGCAGTGCCGGGAGAAGACCTGCGATGACCGATCCAATCATGGGAGGAAGGGTCGGCGGAGCATTTGGCGTGTCAACAGCGGTTGCTTGGAGGACGGAGGTGGTTGACGCTCACACATACAACGAGCCGGCAGTTTGGGCGGTGTGGGGAACGCTTGTCCAGCTGGTTTCGTTGGCACTTCGGGAGAGTTTCCGTTACTTGGGAGGAGAGGAGGGTGAAGTGTGAGCACTCGCAGGTTCAGGTTGAGCACAGTTGACTGCAGGTTTTTCGTTATACTCAACAAGTGCACCCCAAGCACCTCGATGTCTGACATGTCTCGAGCTCAGGAACCAGGCGTACAAGTACTCCAGCGTTGCGTTCCTCCAATTCTGCAAGCAGGGTAACGTGGCGCTCATGTTCTTCATGCAGCTTGACTTGGTTGTGACTAGTTGTGGATGTTGGGGGCCTTCGGCAGCAGATCTGCGAAGCTGGGTCCCACTGTGCGCTTCTGTTCGGCCCGCGTGAGAGCCTGAGGTCGTGCGCAGTTGGAAGTCAGATCTTTAGCGCTTTGGCAAAATTGACGCAGTATGTGGCTGTTGTGTAGGCCAACGCTTTGCAGACTGCTGTTGTATGATGTTGGTGACAGATATGGACTTTCGTCTTCTGTTCCTTCTCTGAAATCGCTTGTTGGAATGCCTGTTCAGACTGATAAACCCAATCGAGGCTGGCAAAAGCTTGCCGTGCTCAGTATAGTCATTGCTGGCTGTACAACGCCGCTTGGCCGCCACAGGGCTCATGCAGACCTCAGAACTCCAGGAACTCACCCACAACTCCATGGACTCCATTCACCAAGCCAGTTGAAGGTGTGCCCACGGGGAGATTCATTTTGTGCCTCTTGGATGCAGACCGAAGCATTTCCTCTTAAGAAGGCTTCCAACCACTTCGAAAGGTGCAGCTCAATTCGGTTCAAATGTGCTGAATGCAAGGATGACAGGGCTTCTTCTCCAGCTCGCATCGCAGCTGACGGAGTGCTCCAAGAATTTGATTGGTGAAGCCGTCTTTTGGCTAATTACAGGCTGCAGGCGCTCGCAAATGCTGGGTGTTTGGAATTGGCAGCAGAAGGGCAGTGTTTCTTCGAGCATCTTGCCTGGGTGGCACCGAAAAAACATAGTCAGCCTTTGCGGGCTAGTCTCTTTTGCCTGTCAGCGAAGGTGATGTCTGGAGCTGGTCTGAAGCTGGACGTGCTGACTTTCGTCTTGTTCCAGGCTTTGGATTTGGTGGCGTCGTTCTGCATTTCTTCCCATCTTCGCAAGATCTTGTCGCCGAGTCCTAGCTACACCACCATGCTCGCAGGCACCCTTTTCGCTGGTTTTCCTGATTGTGGGAGTCGTTGTCACCTGGACCCCCGACGTATGGACGGACTTCATTAAGCAGAGTCCTGGACGCAAGCGCTTCCTTTCCTTCTGTGGCTGTTATAGGTTTGCCAGGTATGCGTTGTTTGTTCGGAGGCGTGAGATTGGGTCTTCTTGCTTGCAGGCTTACATCTGTCAGCTTTTTTTGTGTCTGGTGCTGTACTTGTTGAGCTGGCGACTAAGTTGGCATTGGGTGATGATAAACGCCCTGATCGCTTTCCTGCTGAATGCCCGGTGCCCGATGATCCAGGGGAGCGTTGGTAATGAGTAATGAAGTTGCGGTATTGCGCTGCCACGTGCAAAACTGCACGTTCGGTGCGTCATCCATAAACTCCCGACTGCGTCTGCGTAAATGATGAGACGCGATGCTGTCTGAGGTTCTCATTGCCGTCACCTTGAAAAAGCTCTCGGCGCTGTCCTTCGTCATCATTGGCGTGGTGAAGGACTACGCTGGCACCACCTGTTGGCTGCCTGTTGGGTGTAGGATGGTGTACCCTAAACCCTAAACCCAAAACCCTAATCCGAGTGTGAGCGATTAAACCCTAAACCCTAAACCCTAAACCCTAAACCCTAAACCCTAAACCCTAAACCCTAAACCCTATGACAGGGCGGTTCTCTTGGCCATGGCATGGAGGACATGGTCATCGTGTCCTGTTCCGCGCTGGTCTTCGGCGAGCCTCAGGCGTGCAACAGTGAGGATGCGACATGGTGATTTCCCCAAATTATGGCCCCTTTTTGGCTCATTGTTATAAGGCGGCCCCTCTTATAGTCTTATTTAGGGTACCCAAAAAGGAACCCTACTTTTGAGAACTGACCACATGCACTAGGTTGTGTCAGCTCATCAGAACTGGAACATGCAAGTGTAACTGTCTTAGTGAGTCCTGCTTGCCTTTGTGGTGGTTTCCATGCTATGACCTCCCCCATGAGGGAATATGAGGGAGACATGGCTGGGTGGGTTGGCCAAATGTTGAGCTAAGGACCCAGTCTCCCAGATCCAGCAGGCACAGTTGCAGAGCTGCAGCCCACGATCCCTCACCTAACATCAACCCCCCAATTCCCAACCCTCCCCCGCCCCCCCCCCCCCCGTTTAGGGTTTAGGGTTTAAGATTTCATATTTCCCACCAATAAAAATACTCCCACCACCATCTCGGGAGGGGGGGGTCGGTTTCGATTGGCCTCTAAGCGATCCGATACCCTTGGCAGCCACCTTGCATGAAGCAGTCCGCCAAACCGGATTCTTGTGATTTGTGCGGAAAAAAGGATAAGGTTTGGACAGGGGTAGCCACTCGCCCCAGCAATTCGTGAGGCTGGCCGTGCTGATTTCTTAAGTTTGCAAACTGTTGGGGCAGACATCACCTTGTCAGAAGAGTAGTTCCTGAGCTGCGGATGCTCCGGGCCGAAACCCTGGGACAGGGGAGTTACCGAGTTTTCAAGCAGCAGGTCGGCTTCATGGTGACGATCGTCGGTGTGCTGCTATGGAGCCGCCTGAAGATGCAGGAGCAGGCACAGCCTGGCTAAGTTCTCCTGAGGAATCATTCAGCTTCGACCAGTTAGGGCCGACTGCAGCTCGCTTAAACTTCAGTCGTTCTCGTGTCTGCTTTGTATGCCAGAGCCGATTCCTATCTCGAAGGGCTTAGGATGTTTCAGGGCACGGCAGAGAGGAGAGGTGTTGTGTCTTCATAGGCAGATAGCAGCATGGTCACGCCCAACCGCCTGACAGGCTGCAAGAATGCAGGATCAGGAGCGACTCCCGTTCGCAAAGAATGCCAAGCTCAAGGCGGGGCAGCCCAGCCAGCCCACTCGCAGCCTGGGTTGGACTGCCTACGTTCACATACGTGTAGCTACTGTAGGTACAGTTGCATAAATGTTTACACCTTCGGCGCGTTCGATGCCTTGTCAGGAGCCAAGACCGAGCTAGCAGCGTTCGAAGCGGCAGCTGCGCATCGCCTCTGCCAGAACCCTCGTTTAGGGGTTCGGGTTTTTGGATCCAAGCGCTCCAGCTTGAGGTTTCTGCTGAAAATATTCTGCAGCATCCCAAGCTTAATGTGAAGAGGTTCTGGCATGTGGGCTCCGATGTGGACTGGGCGGAGCTGTTTCACTTCAGAGTAGCCTCCATGAGTCCAGCAAGTCGATCTCATGCGGCGTAGGGCATGGGGTCCGCAGATATCCATAAGTGCTTGTCAAATGTCATCTGGAGAAGTGCTTCACTTGAGAGATGCCGCACAGACAGAGACTTGCGATCCAAACTTCATGTTCTGGGTGCAGCGCTGTGGCAAGCTTGACATGTCCACAAGAAGCATTCACTCGGAACATGGCACACTTGCAATCCGCGGCTTGGCGATGTGCAAGCAGGAGCGAGCAAAACATGAGACCCTGAGCGCGCTAGGGTGGTGCGATCTGGCACAGCAGATCCATGTGTCGACTGCGGCATTCTGCAAGGCCGAATCTCGAATGGGCCTGGAAAGCAGCGTTGTTTGCAGTTCCTGTGCCATTCTCGGGTGGCAAGAGGGTGCCTTCCTCAGCACTGACATGCTGTCAGAACGTTCGGTGAGTGCTGGAGAGGCGTTTGGTGGCAGGGGAGGTATGGAGTTAGTATGGAGTAGCCTGGCATCGTCTGTCTGGTTGCTTAACTACGTACACTTGGGTTTTGTGTGATGTATGGGGTTGTGGCACCCCTGTAACAGGGCAGGTATAGCTCCCGAGCAAGTTCGAGAGCTGTGCTGAGTGCTACTCGCAGAGCTACATTCAATGTAGCCGTTTGTCTCCTAAGGAGACTCTGGCAAATGCGGGATCATATTGGAACAATCTTGAGCCAGATGCATGCAAGACACAAGAGCCCCCCCCCCCCCCCAGATATGTGAAGCTTGGAATGTTGAGTATCATGGTGACCGCTCTAAGTGCCTTGCGGTCAATCGGCCATTATAGCACAACAAGCCTTACCCCGTGCATGCAAGAGCATCAGTGCGAGGGATATCTCTTGGGTTCTCGAAGAAACACTCGGGCTGCGCGGTGCACCATGGTGATGCAGCCTTTCATGGGCTGACGCGTCTTCTGAACCAGAATGACAGGCCGGATGCAAGGGCAGCACTCGCACGTGTTTTCCCAGCAGTTTCTGCCATGGCACACCCGTTACCCGTTGCCTTTGGTACTTCGGTAGCAACATGCTGCATCCCAAGCCTGAAACCCAAGCCTGAAGTTTTTTGAGGGTGACCAGGATCTTCAAGTTCAGGTTTAAGGGCGCACATTGTCGTTTGATCCTCAGGCCTCCATGGTCGGCCCGCCAGGGGACAGTCAGTCCGGAGGACGCCCTTGAGGGTTTGATTTGTGATGCGACATGGACTCCTTAAGCCCTTAAGGCGCTTCGGCTTAGGTCACAATAAGGCTCCATAAGGCTTGCTGACAGGCCGGGCCCTTGCACAATGCATGCCTGGCGCAGCCACTTGAATTGACAATCTTTAAAGCTGGCCCCAAGCCGATGTGTGCGAATTCTCCCTGTTGTGCCTCAAATGTGCGCCAGGGTTCGCATGCCAAAGCTGCCGGATGCCGTCCCGAGAATGTCCGCCTGGGAGGAGGCCTCGGGGGAAGATGCGCATTACGGGCGCATGCTTTGCAGAGCCATCAACATATCCCCCATGTGCCCCAACGATCCCAACGATCCCAACGGTCCCAATGCGCAGGCACGGACGGCCAGCAAATGCAGCTCCAGGCGCAGCGGGCGGCTTGGCAGTCGACAAAACCCTGAGCTGGTCAAGATGAGGACCGAACTACGTACAGCGGATGTGGGGGCACTCCCCGTTATGAAGTTCATGTTGCAGTCTTCAGTCGCTTTTTGGGGGGTGCACAGGGAGAAGGAGATAATTTCGCAAGGAACATCTGGTGGGTGGAGGTCTTTCATGAGCAATTGATATGCTTGAAACTGTTGCTGCAAGGTGCGACAACTTCGCCACCGTATGGTTTCAGGCTTTCGTAACGTGCGTCGTGTTGATGTGTGAAGGCGTTGCTGTCACCTTCTGCCTGGTAGGACCAGTGCCAGTGAGGGCCACTTTCCCTCGCTTCCCAAGATCTCGGCCACTGTTCGAGTAGCTGGACTGCAGATGCGGCACGGAAACGCAGTGGCTGTCATTTCGTAAGAGTGGGAGGTGAAAATGCAGGAGCCAATGCGCAAGTCTAGAAGGCTCTACTGCAATTTGCAGATGTGCTCAATTGGTATTCTTTCTTTGTTCACCGTTTGTGTCGCTGAGCGCGTGCGTGGGCGTGGGTGTGGGTGTGGGTGTGTGTGTGTGTGTGTGTGTGCCCGTGTGTGTCCCCGTGTGTGTCCCCGTGTGTGTCCCCGTGTGTGTCCCCGTGTGTGTCCCCGTGTGTCTGTGCCTCTGTAGCTGTGGATGTCTCTGTCTTCGTGATTGTGTCTGTCTCTGCGCGCGTCTCTCTCTGTCTCTCTGTGTGCGCGTGTGCTTGAGCGTACGTGTGCGTACGTGTGCGTGCGTGCGTGCGTGCGTGCGTCGGAAGCCCCTGCAGCACCCGCACTATGCGAGACACGAAAGCTAGCTGATCTTTTAGTTTGTGGGAGTTCTTGTTTACAACTTTTGCGGCCAGCACTTTGGACGCAACGCCCAAACTTTGCCAAGCATGCGCATTTTCATGCTGCAGATTGCATTGTTGTAATGCTTTATTTAGACCCCATGGACACAAAGACCTCAATATCTCCACGATGAAGGGTCATGGAGAAGCGTCTCCCTTTTTGCTTTTCTGGGGCGTGCGCCAGGGTTTCGGTTTCGAAGGGACTTGGCGGTTTTTGAATACTCAGGTAACGTGTGTATCTGGGGGGCAGGGAAAGGCAACTTGAACGAAAGCTAGGGCCCCGAAACGAGGCCGCTGCTTTACGAAATTCAGACTTTGCGTTGTGAGGCGGCTTCCTTCGAAGAGATCTTAGCGGATGCGCAGCGCCGGGCGCAGCACCGCCGTGTGCAGGCCCCGAGGATCACAAGACAGCCCGGGAAGGTTGAGGGCTGGTGCCTAGTCGGGAATGAAGGAATGAGATTTCACCCAAAGCGATGATCTCAATCTTTATTTGGCTTTGTGTGAGAACGGGCGGGAATCGTTCATGCAACTACAGCAATCCGAGTACATGCACTCAAAGAATCCAAGTAAAGGGTGCATCCCATGCCTCACCCCGGGTACATCAGGAAAGCAGCCTACATATACTTGCTTGACAGAAAAAACATCATCACACCAGCATGAAGAGATGCATCAAGCCTGGGTTCTACTATCCAGAAGTAGCCAGTGTCGACATTAGATTCCGAAGGCCCCTGGGAATAGTGCTAAATGTTGTTAAAAGTTCGCCGGAACGTTGCTCAATGGACAGCCCAAACATCCGACGGCTGGGATGATTTTCGGGACGGCGGCCGACTTGTCAGGAGTCAGCATGTGTGTGTGCTGACTAGTGCTGAGTAGGCGAGATGGTGCCATCACGAATGCTAAGCAACCGACTCCGCGTAAGAAGGAGGAGGCTAAGAGTCGAAAGCTCGAGAGAATGCAGAGGAGGTCCGCACAGAGGGGTCTCTGCACAGGCACGGAAGAAGAGTGAGGAAGGAGGCGAGTCGAAGCCTCAGATTTCCAAAAGCACCGTCGAGAGCAGAAGGAGGGGGCCGACGACGACTTCTGAATGCGGCCCTGAAGTCAGCCTACTCCTTGCTATATCCCCCTTGGGAATTATTTCTTTACATTTTGTTTATATAAACCCCAAGAGGATATTAAACATATTATCTTATTAAGGTTCTAAGGGGAGTATAGCTTGTGCAACCCGCAGCCTCGTCGGCCATAGGCGATCATGCGTGCCCACATTTTGGTTTTAGGACTTGTTGCGCCTCCACGCTGGAGGCAACAATTCAATAATGGAGACGTAGGGAGACCTTAAGATCACCGAGGCTCCTCCCCTTCGTCAGCAGCACCAACATCAACAAGAACACCATCGCTGGGTACCATGCTTTCTCCGCCTTGATGAGGCGTTGGAAGCAAGACTTGTGCAACTGCCTCTGGTGCGGTTGCTTATGGATGCACAGACATCCCATCTGCAGGAACCTCAACCAGCGTTCGGCAGGCGAGTCTTGGCCGAGAGGTGGAAGGGCAGGGCGTCGTGTGGCTTAGTGCTGAAGGCCCTTAAGGCTGCCACTGTGCGAGTGCCGACCTGGAGGCAGCCCAGGAAGATCAGTGCTCTGCGTGCTCGCTAGATGTGCTCGTCGTTAGCAGCCGTTAAATCAAAGCATCGGAAACACCGCGACCCACGGATACAGACATGCCTGCGTAGTCGGCACCTGTGGAGGTACTAAGTTACTAATTAATATTAATATTAATGTTAATGTTAATGTTAATGTTAATGTTGATTTTATTATTAATATTCTTTTTATTACTAGTACTATTATTATCATTGCTATTATTACCATTATTACTAGTCTTAAGAATAGGAGGACCAGGAGCCACAGCAGAGGGCGGAGCCGCAGCAGAGGGCGGATGAAGATCTCCACCGAAACCTGCGGCCTAAGGACTTGGCAACCCTTGACCTCGAAGCCGAGCGCGCAGCGGAAGCTGAGGCGCAAGCACGCAGCTGATGTTGGCCGCGGCTCAGCCATTTCATGTCCAATGCAGCAACTTTTTAGCAATAACCTCCCAGGCTGCATCGATATTCACAGCGTTTACTGCAGTTTGAAGGAGAAGCGCAAAGCTGAACAGAAGGAGGTTGAGCGCATGACAAGGCCAAGCAATGCCACAAGTCTCAATTGCCTGCAGCTCCTGACCTTGACCTGTGTGGTAGCACTGTTGTTTTGGCGGGGGAGGGAGGGGAAGGGGAGGCATGGTTTGAAGCATCCTTGGCAGTGCCGCGTTTGTGCAATTGCGTCTGTTGCAGCCACAGCACGTAGCAGCCCAGCTGAAACCAAACGCCGTAGCAAGAGGCGACTGCCCTTCCGAATTGACAGGCTCACCATGTTGGCGGCAAGCGCCCTGACCGAGCAAACCGATCAGGACTTGTGGAGCATGAAGCTCCGCTTTGTCACCATCATGGCCATGCCAGGTCTGTTTTGTGGGGCCACACTGCCACACACAGAAGATGTTCTTGTGCAGGACAGGACCGCACCTGCGCGAAGGCTCCTGCACATGCTTCTGTGCGTCCATGCCAAGGGATTCGTACTTCGGTTGGGGCCGCAGGAGTATAGGAGGTCCGCAGTAGATATCTCAAGGCTTGGCTTTGATGCTAGGTGCCTCCTTGCTCAGAGAAGGACTAGAAAACCACAAAATAGAAACACTGAAAACTATAAGATAACAACTCAAACAACCACAAACAAGTTTGTGCGCCGAAAAAGAAGGCTTTTCGGACCCGGGAGTTGCAAATGTTCTGGGATAGAAACTGGAGCGGAGGACCTCCACCGTCGTCACGGAGGAGGAGAAGAGGCTCAGCGAGGCGCAGAAAAGGCACCTTGGGGCTTATCAGGCCTAAAGGCTTAAAGGCTTAAAGGCTTAAGGGAGTTTAATAGTTGGGGGATCATGCACGTTGGATGGCTTCGATGCGCCATGGGAATGGGCATCTGAAAATGAATGCTCTGACACTTCTGGGCCTTGGCCACTTTGGTTTCCACGAGGAAGCGCGAGGACGAAGCCATCCAGCGAGCGCGGCTGGAGCGAGCCATTGGGTCTGCAAAGTGTCTTCTTGGTGGGCTAATCGATGACGAGTGTCGTTCCTAGTAGTCTCAAGTAGTACATTCCGGAGTAAACAAGCCACCGAGAGATCTGAAATTCTATGAATCTGGGCCATAAGTTATGAAGCACCCGAAGAACTTACCGAAAAGTTGTAACGAGGAAACTGAGAACAAGGCAGTAGTTCTATAAGGGCTACGGAAGCACCCTCCATCTCCCACAATCTTTCAAGAAAGAGAGAGAGAGGGAGAGGCGACATAGTGTACTAGATGAAAAGGTTCATCGTAGTGACTACATGAGTATATTCTAGATTTCCTAGATTTCGAGCTGCAGGAAATGGTGCAAAGTTGAGTGGGGCTTAGCCCGAACGCCGCCTCTCAACTCAACCCCTCGCCCCTCGTCTCTGCTCGAAGTATTACGACCATTGCCGCAGCTGCAGATGCCGTGAATCTGCGAACCTTAGGCATGAAAGATCATGCATTACTATAGCTCATCAAGTGTTGATCCAGCTGAGGAAAAAGATCCGGAAGACACTTGGCCAGCAGCTTCGCCAACTCTCCGTTCCTCATCCGACCTCATCCCTGCATCCTTGCGCGAGTGAGACAGAATCTTAAATCTCAAAGGGTCTGCAGGGCACCACGCTCAGCTGCTACTCGGCCAGATGCGTCAGGATGTGGCAGAGGTCCTCCGCCCCCCGGACTTTGCGCTGGTGATCGAGCGCTTCAACTGGGCCACTTGCGCACGAATTCCTTTTTTGACTTGTTTCTCTTTGCTGCCGCAAGCTGATCAAGGGCTTGGACAAGCCTTTATGCCAGAGCTTCTATGCAAACCGCTCTGCCTTATTGTCGTCTGTCGGTGACTGCGGTTGCCCGGAAAGATCCAGTACCTCCTAAGGAGGGTGTTTTTTAGACATGTCTAAAAGATAGTATCCAGCTACCTCCTAAGGAGGGTCCTGGACTCTCACAGAAAGAGCTTCGCAAAGCAGAGGCAACCACAGGGGTCTGGGAGCGGAATAGCTTGATTGATCCTTTTGCTCTGGTGATATCGTAGCGATAGGCACATAGTCTTTGCCATTGCTTGCTTAGGTGTCTGCGCGATGTTGAACCCCTCTAGATGTGCCGCCGCCTGCTTTCCCTTGCAATTGTAGTGCAGCCTGCTTGCGCTTGCCCTCCTGCCCGTACCTAGAATTCGTGTATACATGGGACGACGCCCCCTTTCCCAAGCAGCAGGAGCAGTTTCACATCTACAAGACCGAGGGCCAAGGCGATGTACATTTGGATCGCGACTTGTCATTGAATCAGAACAGGCAAAATGTGAAAGAGCAATGCATCGCATGGTTGAACCGCATGCCTTATCGTGGAACTCCCACAGGCGTCAAGAACAACATGGACAGCCGGCCATGCAGACACTGCCGACCTAGTTTAAGAACCAGTCTCTACAGCCATGGCATCTTTCACAAAGCCCATGTGCGGTGTCTTCCAGGCATTTATGAGCTTCTGACGTCCATGTTCTACATGACGATCGACGAGGTGGGCAGATGCTGGAATGATTTTCAGTGGAGGTTGGACGCAGACTGTTTGACAATGCTGCGGCAGTGGTGAAGCTTTGCCGGTGCCTGCTATGCAGCCTATGCAAAGGCCACGATCAAGAAGCTTGTTGTCGAAATCACGCCTTTCAGCGCCTTGGAGAAGCAGGACGGGGTTCCTGAGATGCTGAGAAAACAGACTGCACTGACTGCACTTTCAAACTTCCGATGTAGCCATTGGGCTATGCGCTTTGTGGACAGAATCGTGTGCCTGTGTGCCTGTGACCTGTGAGGAGCTTTTCGAGTTCCTCCGCTACCTGGATAAACAGTCGGGCGTTCAGCATCGCTTGTTCCGGCTTGAGCATGTTCGACCTAAGGAAAGTATACGCAGCATGAAAGAGACTACATCAGGACCTTTGCCTCTGGATGCCTTCACTTCGACACGTGATTGTGCTAATGAACATCCTTCTGAGCAGGAAGGTCTTCCACGAGTTTGACGAGGACGGCTCGGGCGAGTTAAACACCAACGAGGTCCAGGCGGTGCTGGAGGCGGCCACTTCGGGATTCCGAGTTGGAAATTGCAAGTTACCTTAAGTTCTAATGACAGTTTTCCTCCGCCCTGCACGTCATGCCACTACAAGAGGTGCTGAGTCTGAGGGAGGCCAGGGCTCTTTCTAGTAAGAGTGTCCTTAGGCAAGTAGAGTACGTCCTGTGCTACCCTGTTAGGGGTTGAGGTGACGTGTGTGCCCATTGGATCCAGGCCCTGGGATGCTCGCCTTTCCGAGGCACGCTGCAGAGGTCGGGTCGTGTGTCGGTCTCCACGTCCGGCATTCAGGTCGTGAAAGGGCAGAGTAAGGGCCCAGGTGAAGTTTCAGCTCCGTTCTAGATGCTCCAAAAAGACAAAAAAAGGGTGCACAAGCTGCCAGAATGGGCGGGCGCAGTCCAGCTCAGCGAGTTGAGTGGCCTCTGGCAGGCTCATCGATGCTGTGGATGCGGACCACTCTCAAACGCTAGACTTCAACGAGTTCCTATCTCTGCTACTGGTTTATAGGCAGACCGATGGCTTCAGCCACAAGGATTCAAGTGGAGGGGTTGCAGGGATGCTGCGGTTGCTGCGGGTTGCCTACTTCTTCTAGTCTTCTATTTGGGCACCTCGGATCCACTTCTGAAGCGGGCCACGCTGTGATAAAGGTCAAAAGCTCCCGAATCCAGCTGACCGGACTACTGCTCTTAGCTGGCATCGCAACGCCTGCTCTTTGACGCTGCATGTCACACCACGTAAGGCCCTGGCGCGTGCCTGTGTCTAAACTGACACTAACCTCCACAGTGCCAGTGCGAGGAGATTCGTCAGCTGTATCGAACATTCTGCCGCTTTGCCGTGGAGGACCCACATACCAAGGTGAAGAAGGCCAGCCTCGATTTGAAGCAGTTGACCCACCCCCCTACCACCCCCCCCCCCCCACCCCTCAGCCTCGGTGTTTTGGGCACCAGAGTAGGAATGCCCATCGCCGACGCATGATCTTGTCGATGAACCACAGTTTGGCCATCGTTTCGTCAACAGCTGAAGTTCGCTGCTGTTGTTCGCCCTGTGCGGCCGACACGACGCGAATCTCGGTGACAGTGACGACAAGCCGACAGCTCGAAAGGTCCCATCGCATCGACTCACCGCGGCTCTGATCTTCGAGTTCGGAGCCCAGGCGGCCGATCTTGCCAGGACTGACATGCACTGATCGTCTGGGGTATTCTGGGGTTGATTTTGGGTGTTTTGCCGCTCCAAGCTTGCGGGTCTACAGCCACTGCATGTGCTGTGCGCATGCAGTGCTGCGGTCATCGGCTCTTGCAACGACGGGATGCCGCATCTTGTCGTGAAGGAGGGCTGTTGAATGGCTGCGGTTTTCCCGGTGACCCGGTGGAAGGTGGGTCGGTTCGGTTCGGGATTGCCGGCTTCGAGCCATGTCAGTTCCTTTCAGGACCACCAGGCCAAACATGGAACCAAGGCTTTGTCCTTCCGAAGGACGATCAGCAAAAAAATTACACACCTTAGGATGTGCGTGCGCACGGCGAGACTGGCATTTCAATGTCTGCAGATATCGACCACTGGAAGGAAAGCTTCGTTTCTGGTAGTTCTGCTTTCCATCTTCATTCTTCTGCACACAGTTCGGTGCATCCCCTCTTTTGGCTCGGTCAGATTTTGTTTGTTACAAACTCCCTGCTGTGTACAGTGCAGTTGCTTTGTTGTAGTGTGCTTGAAGCAACACATGCGTGGGCCATTTTAAACATCAAGCTGGTCGTGCATCATGGTTCCGCTCAACTGTGTTGCATCATGTCGTTGCCAGAAGTGTGCCAGGAAGCTGGCGGCATCGACCTCGAAGATTATGCATCCTGCCTGCAGTCAGGTCTTGGCGTCGCAGGAGTAGGGTTTAGGGTTTAGGGTTAGGGTTTAGGGTTTTGGGTTTAGGGTTTAGGGTTCCTGGCTTCGCGCGCACGGCTGCCAAGGAAAGGGGGCCGCTCGCCTTGGAAGCTGGCTGCTGCCAACGTCCGGCCCTCGCTTGGCCAGGAGCAGGGTGCTGGCCTCACCTTCCGACAGCTTCTTGGTTCTAGATATTAGAGGGTTTCCGAAAATAGGGTACCCTTTGTGGGGGGTCTATATAAGGAGCAGGGGTAGAAATGGGGTACCCCTATTTGGGGAAATGCCCATATGAGGGTTTCCGACATTAGGGGCACCTTCTTGGGGCCCTGATTATAAGGGAATCCTACAGTTCGGGGGTTTATGTTGGGGCCGTTAGGGGTCCCTTAGTATCGTAAACCTCCATCTGGTTCGGAAACCCCGCAGCCGATCAACTATATACTGACTCATATACATATATACATATATAGACATCTCCCGTATTTTTCCCTTTGAGAATACTGGCTCATGCATTCCCCGTTTTTCCCTTTAAGACTGAGCCTTCAGACTGGCAGCAAAGAGGTTTACCGCGTGGTCTCGAAGGATGAAGGAGGCGGAGATTGGAGAGTATGTGCGCCAGCTGCTTGCCTTTTCATTGCCTTGGGGGGCTGGGTAGTGAATCGTTAATTAACCTTTTTGGATAAATACATATATATATATATGCTCACCCCCCCCCAATGGACCCACCGCGGATGGCAGCCGAGTCCTAGCCAGATCAAGGCAAAAAACAACAAAACAAGAAACTAACAAAAACCAACAAACCAAAAAAATCCAAAAAACCAAAAAAACCAAAAAAACCATCTTTTCCAAAACTATGGGGCTGGGGCCTCCAAAAGATGGTTTTTTTGGTTTTCTCGAGAAAAAGATGGTTTTTTTGGTTCGAAACCATCTTTTTCTCGAGAAAAAGATGGTTTTTGAGCAGCCGCTCTTCTAAAAACCATCTTTTTCTCGAGAAAAAGATGGTTTTACCAGGACAAGACCTCCAAAAACCATCTTTTTCTCGAGAAAAAGATGGTTTTACCAGGACAAGACCTCCGGAAACCATCTTTTTCTCGAGAAAAAGATGGTTTTTCCAGGACAAGATCTCCAAAAACCATCTTTTTCTCGAGAAAAAGATGGTTTTTCGAAGAGCGGCTGCTCAAAAACCATCTTTTTCTCGAGAAAAAGATGGTTTCGAACCAAAAAAACCATCTTTTTCTCGAGAAAACCAAAAAAACCATCTTTTGGAGGCCCCAGCCCCATAGTTTTGGAAAAGATGGTTTTTTTGGTTTTTTTGGTTTTTTTGGTTTTCTCGAGAAAAAGATGGTTTTTTGGTTCGAAACCATCTTTTTCTCGAGAAAAAGATTGTTTTGAGCAACCATCCTTCGAAAAACCATCTTTTTCTCGAGAAAAAGATGGTTTTACCAGGAGAAGACCTCCAAAAACCATCTTTTTCTCGAGAAAAAGATGGTTTTACCAGGACAAGACCTCCGGAAACCATCTTTTTCTCGAGAAAAAGATGGTTTTTCCAGGGTAAGATCTCTAAAAACCATCTTTTTCTCGAGAAAAAGATGGTTTTTCGAAGAGCGGCTGCTCAAAAACCATCTTTTTCTCGAGAAAAAGATGGTTTCGAACCAAAAAAACCATCTTTTTCTCGAGAAAACCAAAAAAACCATCTTTTGGAGGCCCCAGCCCCATAGTTTTGGAAAAGATGGTTTTTTTGGTTTTTTTGGTTTTTTTGTTTTTTTTGGTTTTTTTGGTTTTTTTGGTTTTCTCGAGAAAAAGATGGTTAAGTTTTAGGGGTTTAAGCCTCATGCACTACAGGGTTATAAGGTTCTAATCCTATAGGTATTGCCTTAACCTTTAACCCTAAACCTTTAACTTTAAACCCTGCAGGGTTAACCCCGTGAGAAATTTAGAGATAGACCCCGAAAAGACCCTAAACCTTCTTACAGGGTGTCATGGTTTAAAAACCGATAGGACATGTATACCTTCAGCGCCTGTAGGGTTCAAGCCTTTGAACGTGCTAGACCCCTATAGGGTGCTAAGGTTCTGACCCTAGAGGGTTTAGGATTAAGGCTTAAATGCCCTCTAGGTTTAAATGCCTAAGTCTTAAACCCCAAACCTTTAAACCTTCATCTTATGGGGTTTGAAGGTCAAGGGTTTAGGCTTGATTGCCGAGGGCTTTAGGGTCCTGACCCTAGAGGGTTTAGGGTTAAGGAATAGATGCGTAAACCTTAAACCCTTAAGGTTTAAACTCTATGGGCTTAGGGGGCTTAGGTTTTTTTAAACCCTAAGCCTTTAAACCTTCACACTACAGAGTTTAGAGGTGTTAAGGGTGACAAATTGATTACATACTTAGCTTTAAATGCCTGAATCTTAAACCCCAAACCTTTAAACCTTAACCCTATAGGGTTTAAAGGTTAAGGGCTTAGTGTTAATCGCTGTCTTAGGTTTAAATGTCTGAATCTTAAACCCTAAAACTTTAAACCTTCACCCTATAGGGTTTAAAGGTTAAGGGTTTAGGTTGAATCGTCAGCTTGGATTTAAATGTCTAAGTAAAGAATCCTAAACCTTTAAATCTCATCCCTATGGGGTTTAAGGTTAAGGGTTCAATATGAACTGCCGGCATAGGTCTAAATACCTAAACCTTAAACTTAAACCCTAAACCTTTAAATATCTTAACCCTATAGGGTTTAAAGGTTAGAGGCTTAGCGTAAATTGCCGGAATAGGTTTAAATGCCTAAATCTTAAGCCCGAAACCTTTAAACCTTAGCCCAACAGGGTTTAAAGGTTAAGGGTTTAAAATTAGTTGCAGGCTTAATTAGGTTTACATTCCTACATCTTATATCCTAAACCTTTAAAAATCTTAACCCTATAGGGTTTAAAGGTTAAGGGCTTGGCTGCAGGTTTAAATGGCTAAATATTAAACCCTAAGCCTCTAAACTTTAACCCTACAGGGTTTAAAGGTTAAGGGTTTAAAATTAGTTGCAGGCTTAGGTTTAAATGCCTACATCTTAAACCCTAAACCTGTAAAAATCTCAACCCGATAGAATTTAAAGGTTAAGGGCTTAGCTTTAATTACCGGCATAGGTTCAAATGCCTAAATCTTAAACCCTTAACCTTTAAACCTTAACCCTACAGGGTTTAAAGGTTAAGGTTTTTTTTTGCAGGCTTAGGTTTAAATGCCTAGATCTTAAATTATAAACAAAAGCCAACAGAAAGAAAAACCCTCCGTGCGTGTGTGAGAGGGTGAATTAAGGAATACAGTCAAAAATCCGGTCACCGGAAAATCACCAGACAGCATAGGTTTTATCGGTATTTGCGGTACTTTTGCAAAGATCAAGGCCCGCGGTGGGTCCATTGGGGGGGGGTGACCATATATATATATATGTGTGTGTGTGTGTGTATGTGTGTAATCCTAGTATACAGAACAGGTTTACCTTTTTTGGGCCAGGGTATTCAGCCCTGAGTTGATAGTCACTTGTTGAACCCTTTCTGCGCACCTCAAGGCCCCAAGGCTGACATTCTCGCCCTCCCACCCCCAGATGCGAGGGTTGGTTTTGTGTCCGAAGCCTTTATGTCAGGTTCAAGAAATTTGACCAGAGTGGCGATGGCGTTCTGGATCGCACGGAGGTGAAGACGTTGCTGGCAGAAATGGGATACACGCCACTTGCGCAGCAGCGTAGTGACGCAGTGCTGGTTTGTCAGTGCGATACATGTTTCACATGCAGGGGTTTACGAAAAAAGAGGGGACCCCGAATATGGATCCATTGAGAATAAGGACCCCAGTAAGGTGCCCCTAATTTCGGAAACCCTCATGTCAAGCATGAGGGGCACCCCCGAGTTGTAAGTCCTTATCGTGGGCTCCTCCTTGTGATTTTGGACACATCCTTACTCTATGCCTAGAGTCGGCTCAGGGTCGAAGTCCTTCTCCCAGATTTTTAAGAAAAGCTGCCTCCCAGTGCCTGTTTTTCAGAGTCCCGAGAGCCCAAGGCCGATGCGGTCCAATGTGGATGATCTCTTTGAGGCCGTTGACATGGATGGAGACAGCACCATCAACTTGGAGGAGCTGCTCGGCACCACTGGGCCATGATGCCATTGTTTTTTTTTATATTTTTATCATTACTATTATTATTATTCCTGTTATTATTTTCATCATTACTATTATTACTATTATTATTGTTGTGTTTTTTTATTTCAGTTGCCATGAACATAGGCGATGTTCAGTTGGCTGGGTGGGGTCCTTTTCGCGATTCACACGGCAATGTGCCAAGGACTGGCTGCAAACAAGATTCAGTTGTAAGGAGATGTGCAGAGACGTTCAATTCCTTTTTAGGGCTACAGGACTATTCCAGAACTTCGCAGTTCATGGCAAGCCCGGGATGTACTCTATTCTTTCGGGTGGTTCTTTTTTTCCTCGAGCAGTGCTGTGGCTTTGGAGCCAATGTCCATTGGTTTTTTGCGGTTGTTCAAGTCGGGGCTGAAACTGTTGCTCTGAAAGGTGAGCTCGTGTGTAGGGACGTGGAGAGCTGCAAGTGGCAGCCGCTTCCCAGGTACTTAGATGTCATGGACTACTTCAAGAAGTGGGATGGATTCACTGGTGCGCAAGCAGAAGAGCTGGAGAATCTCTTCAACAGGCAACCGAGCTGCACACGTCATCAGCTTGGCAGTTGATTTACTCTCAAGCTCGTGCGCTGGCCTTCATACTATCAGAAGCAGACCGCAGGAGGTGAGAGGCATGACCTGCGCAACCTCCCCAACCCCAGAAATCCGTTCTGAGACGGTCACGTCAGCCGCATTCTGCAGGCACAAAGACAGCAGCGGCGAAATCTCTTCCATGCAGAAGCCGGATGAAGTTATGCTCGGGAAAAGTGTTCAGTAGTAGCATGGGACATGGGGCTGGCCTCAAATTGGGCCGAAAAAATGTCAGGATCAATCGTCACGGTCTGTGCTAGCCCAAGGATGTTGGACATCTTCAGATCCCGAGGCGTCAATCTCAGTTTGCGCCCCCTGGCTTCACTATTGGCAGGACGATGGAGATCAGCGCAGCCCCTGTTCCGCTTCGTGGTAGTGATCGAAGCCTCGCGCACACAACGGTTCCGAGCATCGGCTTCGTAGGGTGTAATTAGTGTCTTGTGGTACAGGCACACGTGATCAAACTTTGGCCCTAAGGCAAGATCCAGCAGCTTGTTGCCAAGGCCCTCCTTCTGTGATTTTCAGAGAGTTCCAGGATGCTTCAAGATGTTTCAGGTACGTCCATGGTGCTTCTGAAATGACACGTCGGAGGTCAAAAAATATTCGAAGGTTTGGCAGAGACAGTTTGTCCATTGTCTTCCAATCTGGTCTCATCCGTCTGTCAAGTTTACACAGTTTACACTTGCCCTTTGCAGCCTTTCTCGTTGCAGGTGGATGTCGATGGAACGCATTCCTTGGACTTCAAGGACCTGCTGTGGTGGTGTCAACAAACTACTTTAAACAAGTTGTGTCGCAGGCGCAGTATTGAAGAAGCAAGTGTCATTTTTCCTCTCACCACAAAATCCAAGACCCGTTTTGGAGCCTTTGCCGGCGATTGCTAATGACCCTGCATCTCCACTTTGTGACCACAGGCCCCCCCATGCAACCTGACACGTTCTGCCAGATTAAGGTCATGGACTTAGAAGACGGGCTTGCCCGAGTGAGAAATGGGGATTTCCGAAATTAGGGGTTACCTTATTGGGGTCCTTCTTCTAAGGGAATCCTACCATTTGGGGTTCCATATTTGGGGTCCCTTATGCTCGTAAACCCCCAACTGCCATCAGGCAGAGCGGCCCCCTAAGCCCTAAACCCTGAACCCTGCGGGCGCCTGATGGTGTGTGCAGTGCGGGTGGCAAAAAGAAACCGAAGCCCTAACCCCAAAACCCTAAAGCCCTAAAACCCTCAAACCATAAGACCCTAAAACCCTCAAACCCTAAAACCATAAGACCCTGAAACCCTCAAACCCTAAAACCCTAAACCCTAAACATCGTAGGCCCTTGTCAGGTGGGTGATGGGTTTGCTGACCCCTGGTTGGTTCATTGCTGGTGGTCAATGCACCCACTCTAGAGATCTCAACAGGAGTTGCCTCGCCCGCTTGTGCCAGTGTGAGAGTCGAAACCCTAAAACGCTAAGACCCTGAAACCCTAAAACCCAAACCCCCCCACCTCCCAGAGCCGGCCGAGCCTGTGTAGGAGTTCTTGCGTTTGATGCGGCTGCAGCGGGAAACGGCAGCTTGGCTCGGACCCTGGTGGCTCGTGGGCCTTTTAGGGTTTAGGGTTTAGGGTTTAGGGTTTAGGGTTTAGGGTTTAGGGTTTAGGGTTTAGGCCCAGTTTCCTGATTAAACCTAAACCTCAAAGCCGGTACAGCACGTTTGGCCCCACTGTCGTCTTGGTTTTTTTTGCCGTGGCAAACAAAGGAGCTCATCGAGGCCAAGGAGGCGTTCTTCATTACCCTGAAGGCATCGGTCATGTTGCATCATGTCTGCTTTTGGCTGTTGCAGCGAAGACGCGATCAATCGGAGGATTGCGGCTTTGCATGCAGCGGCATACTTCCTAGCACGGCGCAGCCCTTGTTCAAAGATCTCTACATGAGTGCATCAGGAGACGTTGCCACCGGAGGAGTTCAACAAGATTGAAGTCCCTTGTTGCAGAAGTGTGAGCTCTTCGGGTTGGTTTCCAGGCGCTGTTTGACTGTTTGAGGTAAAGGTCTCCAAGGGAGTCGTTGAAGGTGGCCGCCTTCCACCGATGTGTTTTTTGGTCCGATCTTCTGTCCAAGGACTCTGAGAGCCTCACAATCCGTCCAGCTACTTTGCTGAGCGATGCGGTGTACTTGGCGCATCCACCCCCCCCCCCATGAAGTCAAGACAGTGCCGCAACAAGGCAGCCACAAGAAATCGGGCGACTCAGAACCCAACGTAACATGTATACTGTATCCTGTGAGAGATCTCCCCTCATGATCCCAAGGAAGATCTGACGATACCTGTGCAGATCCTCAACCTGCAAACTGACGTGCGTGAGCTCAAGCGTGTCGTTCCCAAGTGATTTGGCGGCACTGGGTTTAAAGGTTTGTTTCGGGACGAGTTTCGACGGTCTCTGTCCCAAGCGACCGGAGCAGAGAGTAAAAGCAGGTACACTGACAACGGCAGAATTGACTTCGACAACCTTGTGGGCCTGACCGTCGCTGGGCAGCAAGCAGCAGCCCGGCAACAGGTGTCGATTTTCCCCCTGAATTCAGTCATAGGCGCCCTTTTGCCGAGAAGAGCAAGCCCCAAGCGTCCGAGCGGGCAAGTCGCAAAGGTGCTGGAACTTGACTTGTTTTGGGGTCGAGCAAGACATATCGAAGGGGCCGGTTGTGTCACCGAAAAAAGGCCCACGTTGCCGTATCCCTTCCTCGTAGCCCCATGCGCGATGGTGCGGGCGGACCAAGAGAGTCCCTCGTTGAGCTGACCCATACATCTCCACATCGGTTTCCCCTGATGGATGGTGAAGAAAGCGCCAAAGTGCGGTGGTCAGTGTGGGTGGCAAGATACAAAGACACAGCAACCGCTACTTCTCCCAGAAGCTTTGCAGGATGAGCTTCGGCATCTGCGACTGACGGAGCACCGGAAGCAGGCGCCTGCTGTCACCTTGTGAAAAGGTGTTATGATGTTACTCTACGGACAAGGTTTGCGGACCTAGGGCAGCTTCGGAAAGTTTACCCGGCTTCGGGGCTGTGCCTGAGGGGGGACGGATGTAGGATCTATAGTTCTCAGGTTTTAGGATGTTTGGGATAAGGTGTTGCGTGTTGTTGGGTTGGGTATTCGCGCTGGTGCACCCAGGTCTCTTGTCGCAAGATGAGGGGGAAAAAGGTAAGTGCCAAAAGGGACTGAACATGAGGAACCACGAACTCGAGGCCAGCTACAGCCACGAGGAGATAAATGAGTTCCAAAGGGCCTTCGAGGAGTTCGATGTCGATAACAGTGGCGAGCTGCTCTGCAGAATGCGAGGCGATTCATTAAGGCAAAGCATCTCGCACGTGGCTTCCATGCACCGTATTTCCAAACCCTGTCGCCAAAGACCTTGACTAAAAAGCAAGCGAAGTGCCTTGCACGCCTGGTGCGTGGGAGTCGAAACCCTAGACCCTGGCTGAGCTCACATCGTGTTTTACGGCAGAGTCACTTAGACTTGAAGTCACGTCTGCTTTGGCCTCTTGTCTAAGGCTTACCTTTCGGTAAGCTCCAAGGATCGATCGCGACGAGATGAGTGCGCTTCTGAAACATCTAAATCTGGTGCCCCAAGCTGCAACTCAGCCTTCATCCCATCCGCCCGAGGTGTCCCAAGCACGGGGGGGGGGGGGTGTTCTTGACAATGAAGGGACCTGCCGCTCTGGGCCACTAGTAGACAGAACCTTACCTTCTTCGACGGTCGGAAAATGTAACACAAATCCGAACACAAGTGGCAATTCTCGCGCACGTACTGAGGAGCTCAAGACCAAGGATGACCAGAAGCACCTATGGCCGCAAGATCAGGGGTTTTACAGAAAGGGCAGCAGTTGAGCCCCTTGTGAAAAAGTGATGTCTTGATATAGTTCCTTGGAATACACGCATCCTTTGCAGACGCGCTGTGTCGTCATTGTTCAGCTTATGTTCAGCGGCCTTCCTGTATGCAATTTTGATGTTGGACCCTCTTGAACTCCTGCCGCTTTCATTTCGCAAGTTGGGTTGTGTGGGCATCCGCCCCCTTTGAAATCAAGTTTTCCGGACGTCCTGAACCATGTGTTGAGGATTCCTCGCCAGGCTCGGTAAGTTAAATCGAGCCCCAGCAAAGGGCACCAGTAGCCTCAGTGGAGGCGTCTCATGAACCTGCTCAACGCTGCGCGCACCTCTGCAGCTGAGAGCGGCGTGGATGCCAAACAGTGCCATGCGCCCAGCTCCTCTGGCGGGAGACAGGTACAGCCATCGCTCTTAGGCGCCAAGATTGAGAAGCGATAAGAGACATAGTGTTTTGCTCCCAGGTGGCAAGATGAACACTGCAGTTGTTGGCTTTCTGGTGTGCCTTGGATTCAAGCAGCATCCTGCTGTTTACCAAAGCTGTCCGTGTCCGCCCCTCCTCGACCAAAGGACTTCATCCAGTGCATCCATTTTGGAAGCCCTCTCTTAGTAGTAAAGTAGGTAACTTTTAATCTCTGTTGGGGTATTATATTCCCCTTATTATAATCCCGAAGGTTAACCTCTACTTACCCCAGGATACCCTAAACCCTAAACCCGAAGAGTGGCCCTCTGGGCTCAGCTAGGCGGGTGGCAACAAAAAAGCCCTAAACCCTAAACCCTAAACCCTAACCCTAAACCCTAAACCCTAAAAAAGGCCTCTAACCCGAGCCCCAGATCCCCGCAAGGTTCGTCCACATGTGCCGGCTGCTCCAGCGCGAGAAAGAGGCCAAAGCTTTGGCGGAAGAGGAAGCCGAGGCACCAAGGATCTCTCATGCAGTGTGGGTTTAGGGGTTTGGGGCGGTTTAGGGTTTAGGGTTAGGGTTTAGCGTTTAGGGTTAGGGTTTGGGGTTTGGGGTTTGGGGTTTAGGGTTTGGGGTTTAGGGTTTAGGGTTTAGGGTCGCAAGCCTGTGAAGAAAAGGGTTTAGGGTTGTTCATAGCAGGAGGGGAGATACATTTCTAGCATGAGCGACTGGGCGCTTCTGGAGAGGCTGCAAGATTGGGCTTCACCGAGGCTCAAACCAAGACTCTTGGCTTGCAGGTGCTTGCTACGAGTCGATACGTGCGGGGGAAAGAATTTCGGGCTACCTCAGAACTCTCGCTTTCCCTCTCCCTCTTCCTCCGCCTCTGCCTGTCTTGCTTTTCCTCTCTCCCTCTCTCTCGCTCTCATTCGCTTGGGTCTCAGGGTCCCTGCATTTTCTTCTGCGCCTTCTGCAGAGCCCAGGAAGCTGCACTCAACGTTCTGCTTGTGGGCTGCGCAGCACCTCGATTTGGAAGAGCTCTTGCCATCATAATTTGCCAGCCACGCGATGACAAGTTCCTAACGGTCTTATCATGGCAGCGGTAGCTTCATGACGATTAAGTGGGAGAGGCCACTTGATCGTTGGCCCATGTGGCTTTTTTTGAAGGGCACTTTAGCATCACAACATGCTGCAGGGCAGAGGACGAGCCCTCTGACAAGAAAGCGAAGCCCAAGAAGGAGAAGCCGTCACTGAGCAGTGTCATTGCTGCCTGCAACCAGAGGGTTCTGCTGGAAAATCTGCGTGGCCAGGAGGATTCCCAGTTCAACGAGCTGGCGACTCTCTCCGTAGACAGCTTCTGCGAGTTGCTCAAGAACATGAACTCCAGGCTCCGAGTTGGAATGGTGCGTGGTGCAACACATCCCAAAACAGTTGCTGAGATTGCTGTGCTGCCGTTGCCCAACTTTTCTGATGCTAGAGGCTACAGCTAGAAGCATCTAGACTATGGACATGTTCAACGGCACAGGTTGACCAATGTAGAAGCGAGCCTGTGCAGACCTTGCGTTGTCAGTATTTGTCAGCTGTTGAGCTTGCGAACATACCTGAGCTGGGTGTATGGCTCATCTTGACGAACTTCCGCGCCATACCACCGATGGCATCCGAATGCGGGTACTCGCAAGTCCGGAGGCGGTAATTAGACAGTTAAAGTGTTGCACCAAGCCACAGCCATTGCCCACGGCCCACTGGACTGTCGTCTGCAGCCTCATGCGGGCACGATGGGACCTGCAGCTCAAAACATGACCCCATCGAAGCAAGTCAACTCCAGCACAATCTGGAAACGCCTTGAAAGCACAAGTAATCAAGCCACCAGAAAGTGTACGTTACACACACACATACACACACACACACACACACACACACACACACACACACACACACACACACACACACACACACACACACACACACACACACACACACACACACACACACACACACACACACACACACACACACACACACACACACCCACGCCCGCCCGCGCGCGCACGCACGCACGCACGCACGCCGCGCACCGCCCGCCGCCCCGCCCCCGCTCCCGCCCGCCCGCCCGCTCGCCCGCCCGCCCGCCGCACGCACGCACGCCGCACGAACGCGCGCACGCGCTTACGCGCACTCGCGCACGCGCCCGCCCGCGCGCGCGCGCGCGCGACGCCGCAGCGCCCGCCCGCCCGCCCGCCCGCCCGCGCACGCCGCCGCACGCCCGCACGCCCGCACGCCCGCCGCCCGCACCCGCACGCCCGCACGCCCGCACGCACGCACGCGCACGCCCGCACCCCGCACGCACCCCCGCCCGCCCGCCCGCACGCCCTCACGCCCGCACGCACGCCCCGCACGCCCTCCCGCCCGCACGCGCGCCCGGCCCGCACCGCCGCCCGCCGCGCTTGCACCTCGCCCCCGCCGGCCGCGCTGCGCCCACTGCCCCCCGCGCCCGCGCGCCCGCGCGCCCGCGCGCCCCGCGCGCCCGCGCGCCCGCGCGCCCTCGCGCGCGCGCGCGCGCGCTCCGCGCGCACGCACGCACGCGCGCACGCACGCACGCACGCGCGCCGCGCACGCTGCGCGCGCGCCGGCGCGCGCGCGCGCGTGCGCGCGCACGCACGGGGCACACTGCAGCATACTGCGGCAAGATACATACCTCACTCCAACCACGGAGTGCAGCAGACGGTCGGACTTCGGACCATGCACCAGAGTGGCCAGCAACGAAAGCAGCGCGCGCGAGAACATGCTTGGCCATGCTTGCATATCGAACGCCATGCACTTTCAGGCTTTCTGACGAAGATCTGGCGGAGCTCCGCAAGCTGCCTGGCAGCTGGAAGACTTGCCTCGGGGTTTACCAATGGAGTACGGGTGTGTCAGTTTCAACAGTAGGCGAGGTGTGAGGAAACTTCAAAAAAGCATTTCAGCAAGGCTAGAAACATTCTTGGCAGCTTGAGTCATCGACATGTACAGGGACTGCGAACTTGTTTGTACTCAATCCTGCAAGAGCGCGGGAGGGTAGGCTCAGGTAGTCGTGGGTTTAGGGCGCCATAGAAGATTCCGCTCCCAGGCTGCTGGCAGCGCTGCGGGGAGCAGAAGCAGGGAGCCAGTTGGCCGCGTGTGGTTAAGGGTGAAGTGTTTAGGGCATGGTGTGCGATTGGGCGAAAATTTTGCTCTCTTTCAGAAGCTCATGAAGGTTCATGAAGGCGTGGAGGGTCACGGAAGTGCACGGAAGTTTTGGGCAACCACACGCGGAAGCTCACGGAAGGCGCTTACAATCACATGTCCATACTGAGACCGGCTTACTACGAACAGAGCAAGTCTCAGGCTAGTCAAAGATGTTAGACGTGTCGTAAAGAACGACAGCTGAACGACAGGAAGAGCCGATTGGTGAAGATCTGGGCATTGCTCGCTCAATGTGAGCTGTTGATGGTGCATGCAGCCCCTTTCCTAGCAACCGCCAGGCTGGAAGCAAAAAAGGCAGAAGTGCGCCGAAGACGTAGCAGCAAATAAAGCACACAACTGAGAGACGAGCACAAAGCGAAGAGCCCAATTCTAGCAAGCAAGGAAGAACAAGTTTAACAAGTTCTGGGTCAGCTACTTAGAACCGACAAATGTTGATGAACGGCTCCGATTTTCAATAAATTTAACAGCAGTGTATGCTGACAAGTTCTACTCAACACCTTCAACAGGTGCAATTAAGATATCAGTCGCATGCGCGGCCAAGTCGGAATTAGGAGACATCCACAGCAAACTCGGCTGTAACCATAGTAGTCGAGATACAATTCTATAATACAAGCAACGCCGCATTGACACGTGATTTTTGCTGGGGCAAATGCGGATGTGAGCTGTTCATCGTCGATGTCTCTGCTTGGCTTTCCTGCAGTTTGTCTTCAATGCAAGGAGATGAGCGGAAGAAGTTAATGTTTTCAACACGTAGATTGATCCTGCATCTGGTGCCAATGGAAATACACTACATGATGTAGGTCGTAATTCGTTAAATCCTCAAAAAATGCCGGCCTCTTCTCATAGCATCCTAGCGTGAAAAACTGTATCATGCAGAAACACGGCCAGCAAACGCCAACAAGATAGTCGTTCTGGTGCACATAGTGAAAGAAAAGGCAGGAGAACCGCAATACGTGCCATCTATGCAGTAAATGCCAGAAGACACAAAGAAGGAATACAGAGTACAGAATCCTGAGAAGGAACAGGCAAGATGCACGAACAAAGTAAATGGCAAAGAGCAGTGTTTCTTCAACATTTGTCACTCCCGAACAAAGTAACACCAAAAATTGATTTGCCACCTCGCCTGGCGTCATGCATGAACACTTCCAATGCAAACATAGTCCATAAGCAGCTCTGAGAGATGTTTGTATTGGAGTTGCCTTTGCTCTACCTCACAAACCCAAACCCATGTTCTCTAGGACCCTTGGCCTATGTTGGGGTATGGTGCTTAAGACCGGGCGTTTGGGTCTCGAGTCGAGACCAAGTCCGCGGGTGTGGAGTTTGGATGTTGCGGATACCTAGGATGTGGCCAAAATCGGCGAGCCTTGTTGTCTAGAGTGCAGGATAGGGCGGGGTGCAGTTAGTCACCTGAGTGGAGCAGTGGAGCGCTTGATGCGCGTGCCCAGGTGAGGGCGGCCTGCTTTACGCAGTCACATCACTGGAGATGACGAATGATCCAGAGGCCGCCGAGCATTGAGACTGTTCGGGGGTGGCTGAGTTTTTTTGGCTTCAAGTTCCTAGGGTAGTTCCTAGGCCCTAGCGTCGCGACCGCGCATTCGTTCGTTGCATCATGCCCCCCTGCGAAGGCCGGGGTCATCCACGGTGATATCTGTGAGGCTCCCATCTCAGGGGCCATGACTTCATTTTGGCCCTCCGACTTCTGGTCCTTGGGGTATGAGGTATGAGGCATGAGTCAAACTTCATCCTGTCCACTATGCAGTGGGCTAGAAGAGGCAGACAACGAGGCTCCAGATTTGGAGCATCCTGACCTGGACTGGCTAGTCAGTCCTACACTTCATGGCTTCCTTGGTTTCTAATGACCATCACAAGAGAGAAAAACAGTCAAGGGCATAGTCATAACAGTGCAACGACAAACTCTGGATAACTCTATGACTCTATGTCAGAATGTTCCGAAGAATGAGTGTTTCCGAGCTGTGGCATCACAAGGGGTTGCAGCCGGTAGTACAGTGACCTGTACTTCGCTTGGCGTGTACTTTGAGTTTGCCCGGTTGAGGCTACCAGGCAGGATGCTCAAACCCGAATGAAGAAAGTCGATCCCGAACTCGCAGGTGAGTTTTCCGCTCTTCGTGCGTTGCTTGCGGTGGATGGTCGCCAACGACTTCTCCGACTCTGCGGAGGTCATAAGGCTCTAGCTCCAGGCGCAGAAAGCTTTGCCCTGCGTTGAGGTCCTGAAATCCCGGCTAGGAAATACTATTAACTATTATCATTATTAGTTTATTCTCATTCTAGTATTATTGTTGTTTGGTATGTAGCTGGGAAATACAACCTTGGTCCGCAGGTGTGACCGCGAGGTTGGCATCGACGATCTCACTGCTTCCCTTCGCTAGGGGGTTCATGATGCACAGGGGAATTGCCTGCACGACGCTGGTGCTAGGATGAGTCTTGAGGAGGGTAATGTTGGACCCTCTTTAAGTGCGTTCCCCCCAAACAGACGATCTTATACGGTTGCCAGTAGGGATGAGTTTCTTATGTAAACTCCTTCCCCCCCCCGAGGTCAGGCTGGCTCCTGGACCGGCCTCCACCCCTTCGATCGTGACAATTTTTCATATGATTTAAAGGGAGTTCTTGATTTTGGCTCGGTTGGGATTCCGGGGTTTCGGGGGCCTTGGAAAGAAGGCCAACCTTTAAGATTCAAAGACCCGGCCTTATAAGCCAAGAGGCCAGCGCATCGGGTGCAAGTCGGCTTTAAACTCAAGCAAGCCCTAAATCCTTGAAACAAATCGGATGACTCCCGAACAGCATCAAGCAGTTCCAGGGTCCTCCAAGGTCCTGAACAGCCCTGCAGACTTGATGTTTATAGAGGGGGTCCCTACTAAACAGGGTCCAACATTGAGGCTCAGGAAGAAATTGTTTGCCAGAGATGGGCCACTCCTGGCAGTGCAAGTTGCAGCCCTCAACCTCATTACGGCTGGGAGTTGCGGTATCAGCGCCTTCCTGAGAGCACATTTCACCCCCCAACGGAGCAGCCCTCAGGAAATCAGACTGCGCAGTTGACCCCCGATGTCCGGAGGTGCTCTCAGGAGGCCTTGCAGATAATGCAAAGAGCATCTGCCTGATGGCTAGCAGGCTGTCTCTGTTTCTGGGTTGCCCAAGGCCCCGCCCGTCTCGAAGAATTTGTCATTTTTAACATTATCTTCTCTACTACTCACACAGTCGCACATGCTGCAGAAGTAGCATGTGGCGCCATGTTGTGCCAGACTCAGGAAACTGTCGCAGGTTTCAAGGCCCGCGGCAAGACAAGCGAACCCAAGATTGGCTTCTGGGCACCACTTGTTGTTGCTGTCTGCCGCGGCCTCTGAGCTTCTGAACTTATGAACTTCGAAGCCGCCGGCCCAAAGGAAGCTGAACATTTCTCCCTCCAACATCTGCAGGTTACTGTGTGAACTACTCGCTCGTACTGCATTGCAAGGTAGTCTCATACCTTGCTGCCCAGGTCGGAGCTTACCTGCAAGCATAGGAATTCCTTGCCACACATGGCGGTGAGCCATCATGGGCATACCGCGTTTGACACAATGGCTTCGCCACAACTACCCCGACGCCTTTGGATTGGAGGTCAGGGTTGCATTCCATGCTGCTGTTTAAGAGTGAGACTGTCGCGCAGGGTTGTAGACACAGCCACCCAAGAAACCGAATACGAGCATTCGCCCGCAAATTCTCGGATTGCAGCTGCAGGCAGACCTCAAGGCGGAGCACGTGTCGCTGAGCCGAACATAGACCATATGCCTCTCCGATGTTTCGAGACATGCTTGTTCCGCTGCTCTACGTTGCAGCCTTCCAGAGCAAGACTGTCGCGGGGCTTTGCCATGAAATTCAGGCAGCTGCCCGAACACCAAAGCCCAAAAAAAGAAGCTGTGTCAAGAACCTCACCTGCTTGCATTTGTTGTGAGAGTCGCTTCGCTCATGTATTCGTCACTGTGCCCCCCCCCCCCCCCAAAGGTACCTGGACGTGAATTGCGTGCTCCACGAAGCGTTAACTGCTCTTGGAGGATCTGCAGCAGAGGTGGACTGGTTCTGTGGTTTGTGGCTAGCAGGGGCCATTTCGTAAGCACCCTAAGCACCGAGGCTTGTGACGTTCACTAGCTCGAGGTTTTGTGACATTACTGCTTATATGCCCCGCGCCCTGCGCCTTAGGTATCTTTGCAACTCCTGAAATGAGCTTCGAAGCTTGACAACCTCGCTGGTCGCAGGAGTCGTTCATACGCCATGTATTTCAGCGTCTCGATCTCATCTTGGAGCAGTGACCTGGCTCCGAAATTGGTTGATTGCGACCTTCTGCAAAGAAGAACATTAACATCAATAACATATGCTGAGCGAAGCATGGCCAAATTGTGTTGGGGCTCCGCCGGCTGCAATGCCACTCCTCAACCATGTGTCCTTGCAAGGGTCCACTGCAGCGCCTCGCTGTACTTGGCCGTGGACGGCGCGGCTGCAGCTGCCAAGGCCGGAGAAAAAAGATGGTCAACACTGAGGTGCTGATGTCTCACCGACAAACGGTCCTTGAAGCTCATTCTTCTCATGCGCAGCCACCAAACGTTGCCCAATGAACTGTGACGCCGTATTTGCGACAGGGAGCTTCGGATCCACAGCTCACGGGATGGGTCGGGATGGGTCTCCAAGCCTGAATTTGCCCTGGAAGTCATGCTGAAACCAGTATCATTTACAAGCGCAATGATGAAAGAGGATTCGCACCTTGATCAAGTAGCTATCAGAATGTCATGGAACAAGCCCGGACCACTGTTTTGAAACAGACGTTGTTCGGACACGCCACCGGAAGCACATGGAAGTGCTCGAGCGCATCGAAACGACTGGCGATGTTCGCAACAGGTGAGATGCCCGCTTCGAGCCGTGAGCTCCTGCACAAATCATAACCGGCACAAGCCCTCTAAACTCCTCTACCTCCCTGAGCCATCATACAAAGCTCCCCAACAATATCATAGAGCTCGGAGCTCCCATGCATCCAGGTGGCAGAGCAGCGCCGGCGGCGCCGTCTTCGGCAGGAGGTGGTGGGACCGGCAGGAGGCCGGTGAGAAATTCAGAAGGGTGGTTCACACCATTCTTCCGAGCTTGCAAAGAGTGATTTCAAGGACCGTGTCATGGTGTTTAGGCTGCTTTTGGCCTGATGGGGGGAGTCGCATGACACGAACGGGATGGACTTGCCCTGGAAGAAGCCACACCTGCGCAGCCTTTTGGCTGAGCTGATTAAATACTTGGTCCGAGAGCCTTGGCGCGACTTCGGGAGTCCGAATGTGACATGGCAGCCTCATGTGGAACCCCCGTGTGAACGGAACCATCTGCGCCAGTCATGCAATTTGTATGTGGCTTTTGGGTTGGAGTGCGATGTAGCCGTACAGCAGCCCCGAGAACTTTTGCGCAAGTTTCCTGTATACATGGCATCAATGAATGTTCATTGTTCATCTATTCTCCCGCAGACATGCAACATTCCGAAAGATGGGTTCTTGGCAATGTGCTTGACACACGCCTTTGGTCAAAGGAGAAGCCTCCACTGGCACGGGAAGTCACAGGTTTTCTGCCTCCGCCGCACCTGCTTGAAGAGCCAAGGGCGAAGAAACGCCAGCGGTGTGGCGATTTGCTTCTTGGCTGGGGTTGGGAGAAGGCTGGCCAACGTCGATATCTTGTATGAACTATACAGCAAGTGGTGGCTATGCGGCTAGCGTGTCATTCCTTGGAGTGCTCTTGTGTCACACAGCCATGTCATAGCGATGGGGCGACAAAGCTGGGAGCCGATGCCTTTGAACAATTTGGGCTCCCGATGCCTCACCTGGCCTGCTCGAGTCGCGAGAACGCAACGCGGAATGTTCACACTCGCGTCGCAAGTTCGGGCATATAGATCCCGATCTCGTGGTGGCGGCTACACATCTTACCAGAACGCTCATCTTCCCTTCTTCGGTGTCTCTGCAGCCTTAGGTTGGACCATCTCCTGCCGAAGCTCATTAGCGAGCAGAAGGAGGAACTGGCTCTACGCCTAGGCCCTGCTTGCTGAGAGTTTGTGCTCGGTGTCGTAGCAGTAGCTTTGCATTGTGCGCTGTAGCTGCTTGTGCAACCTGCTTCGGGGTGCAATGGATGTGCAGCTAACGGCACGGTTGCAAGAGCGATGTTCAGGCTGGTGCTACTATTTCTAACTTGCAAAATCGCTTTCGCAGCGATTGCACCAACCCAACATCAGCTGAGCCGGCAAGCATGTGTTCAGGCCATTTAGCCTTGATTTCTGATGACCCAGACAATGCCGAGAAGCTGTCCCAGAACAAGAGGCCACATGAGTTGTTGTTTGGGGCATATTAAATTAAGAAGATAAACTGAAAACGGGCATATTAAGAAGATAAACTGAAAACCTCCTACTCAATCTACCTCCCATCATGCTTGTCGAGGTGCAAGCACGTCCTGGATGTTTGTCCCTAGGCTGCATGCATTTGGCGAGTCTGATGAGCATGCTCCGGGTCAAGAAGTTGGGCGCTGGCTGAGGTTGGCAGACCATCGGTGCCGATATCCTCACATCACATGATGACTCGATTTCCATCCTTGTGAACTTGCTGGTGCCATCTGACCCTTGGACTGCAGTCATTGACTTGGAGGCTAGCGGAGCTCCATGTCGGGGAGTTTCCGCCCGGCCGCTGCCACATGCGTACGTGCACACGGGATGCATCTAAGCTGAGGCAACCCGATCGGAAGTCTTCCGAGGGCTCGCGGAGTTTGCCAGGGAGAAAGGCAGTGTTCGGATGCTGCTGAAGCACGTTCCTTGGCATCAGGTGTGGCAGACGAGGCAGTTCTCGGTTGCCAAGCAAAGTCGGGCTGCCAGATGCGGTAAAGACACGCGGTTGTGTTGTTGATGTGTGGACATATTTGTGGTACATCTCCTACTCCTTTGTCGTCGTCGTCGTAGTAGTAGCAGTAGTAGTAGCAGTAGTAGTAGTAGTAGTAGCAGTAGTAGTAGTAGTAGTAGTAGTAGTAGTAGTAGTAGTAGTAGTAGTAGTAGTAGCAAGTAGAGGTGTAGTAGTAGTAGCAAATAGAGGTAGAAGTAGAAGTAGATTTAGTAGCTCTCCTTTCGGCTCTTCTACAGCATATGACTTCATATGACAAATATGAGAGGTTGACATGCCAGCCCTTGCACATCACTTGGTCAAGGCCAGGGCTGTGCAGCGCAGCTGAAGGGGTGAGTTTCAAAACGGAGGGATGGCGCGACAAGAGCAGAGAGTTGTGCCTTATAAAAAGCTAGGTTGAGACAAGATTTAGGTCTTCCTCTTCACTTTGACTCGCGTCCTTGGTTTTTATTGGCACCTTTGCAACCTGTGGGAGTCGGCTTGCAGGCCGTGAGCCGATGCGGGAACGTGGAAGCTCGCGATGTCGCGCGAGACTCGCCCAGCTACGGCAGCACTGCGAGCTGCGAGCATTTTGTGCCATGTTTCGTCGACATGTTTCGGCATGTTGCATGGCCGTGGACAACTAAGAAGCCTGCAACCTGACGGCGGCCTCCATGGAGAACCCCGAGGCAGGGGGCCCTGCCTTTCCGCAGATGCGCTTAAACTTTGTTAAGCCTCTGCGAGTAGATGCATGTGCTTCAGACGAAGATGCAGGACAGGGTCGCTTTCTGCAACGCCATCATCGACACGGATGGTGGGGACTCCTTCATGCTCAACTTGTTCGAACCTCGCCGCACTGATTGCAGGGCCAAGCCGATCGTGTCACCCACAGTGTAAAGGTCCAGGTATCAAGCTGCATGGAGGGTGGTATAAGGCTCGCGGATGCTCTGAGTTGTTTTCCTTCTGCTGGCGCGCGTTAAGGATGCCTGGCCCAAGAATCTTGAAAATATGCAGCTCATTGAGACGCTGGACCCCCGGCAGCAAAATGCTCAGAGCACCATGGAAGTTGTAGGGTCCCGATTTGTTCGAGGGGAGGATCCTGTTCAGGGGAATTTTCAAACGTTTCCGGGTGTAAGTTAAAAGGGTCTGATTCTTGGAACCTCCCATGAGCATCATCAACGCAGGCTAGCAAAGACCGCCTGAGCGCCTGAAAGGACTGGTTCCTCTCCAACCCTGTTGACGACCTGATGTGGGACGCGCAGACAGCCAACAGGCCCGGTAGAACTTTCTGATTTGCTGGGGATACCCAACGGATCTCAGCGGTAGGACTATAGATATTCACTAGTCACGGCTCTTGATGTACCCCACTGCGGACTTCAAGCAGTTCTGTGGCAACTCCACAGCTTGCCGGAGGCAGGAGTTTGCTGAGAAGTGGCTGACCTTCCTTGCCGGCCAGTTCCTGGAGCCCGAAGAGAGCACCACCGCGATGCGCCTGGGCAGGGGTGCACGGTAGACATCTAAGCCCGCACCTAGACCTTGGATCTAGCTGCAATCTGTGCAATGGGCCAGATCAGAGTGCTTTATTGGTGGAATGCTGTTTGCTTGCATCGGCGCTGTGTGCTCGGGTAGACATGTTGGTGATCTGGCTTCCTCCATGTTTGTTGGAGAGTATGAGTGTGGGAAATGGAGCACGTCTGTGACCTACAGTGCCATGGATCCGAAGACTGAAGCTAAGGCAAGCCCTCGGTGATACCCTGCAGGTCCGAGACACAACCTTCCGCCATGTTCTCCTGCAGGCCTCCTTGGGCTGCTCAGGGCTCTGAAGTTTTTTCCTTCTCTCTTCTCTAGTTGGCGCAAAGAAGACATAAGAATTCTTCCCTAGTTGGCGAAATTGGCGACATACAAAATGGAGCAGGTTGAACATGTCCGTGAAACTTCGTGTCTTTGTCAGGCCTGTCGGAGTCACAGTGTCACAGGGTGCGGCAAATGTGTTCGCAACGCTTTCGGACTCGCGCAAACGGTGCAGGAGCCCTTGCTGGAGCACTTGGTGTCCAGCTTGGTGGTGAGTGTGCTGACGAACCGGCAAGACCATGGCAAGATCCGCTCCTCGGCACCTGGTTTGAGAGGTGCCTTCAGCTTTGTTGGACCGTTTCTAGGATTCGGAGCCCGGTGAGTTGCCTGGCCACTGCCGTTGCCACAGTGCTTCTTTTGAACTTCTTCGGCATTTCTTTTGGCTGCGTTGCAAGAAGGAAGCCGTAGCCTACAACCAAGCTCTGCCATCGTGAAGGAAGGTCGAACTAGGCTTGTACACAGTGTTCTTGGTCGGAACCTGGATGGAAGGCACCACCTGCAATGCCTCCACAACCCCCGCGTCGAGGAGCTGCGATGTATGCCGCCCTTCACTTGGCCTCCCCGCGTGAGCCCACACCTTTGTCGCTTCTGTCAAGGCATGAGCGCTTCGACACTTGGCCTGTTTCTGAAAAGCATGTGGCAAGTATAAATCTCGTTTTTGCAGAGGATGGAAAAAAGTGCTGCCTTTTGCTTGTCGTGCCAGCAGGAACTGCAAACCCGAACAGAAAGACATCTCCGTAATCCTGCCCCGGGGTAACGCAACCGATTCCTTATCGTGCCCGAGAACGCCAAGTGCAAAGCAAGCACGTGGCTCATCAAAAATCAGTCATCCTTTAGTTGGCAGAGCCTGAGTGCTCAGGACACGCTGGTGGCATTGGCAGTTGAAAATATGCAGGTGGTCATGGAGGCTGCTGCTTCACGTTTGTTTTTGTTGCGCCCGGGGTCAAGGGCAGCTGAACAAGGCTTCCGATCGAGGTCATTTGTGCAGTTTATGCTGCAGGAGAACATCATCAATGTGCTGACGATCTTCCTGCAGAACAAGCCAACCAAGCAAGCGGCCACGGGACAGCAACAGAAGTCCTCAAGCTGGCCTGTGTAGGGGTTTCGATGGCAAGAACAAAGTCCGTAAGCAACTTCAGCCAGCACTCCCACTACGGACAAGGCCCTGCTACAGCAGGCCGGTGGCAAGGTGGTAGGCAGATGGAGTCACCGGTGGAATCTATTTCTGGGCAAGCAATCTGCAAATACCGATTCTGTTTACAAACGGGTTGAATGCTTCACAATCAAGAGCGCTCACATTGGCGCTGACTTTAAGGTTTGCCCGGCTTAGTGATGGTTTTGGGCTTGTGACCGAAGCTGGGGGTCGACATCAATCTGCGCATATTTGCGGCACGATCGTTTGCATGTCCTTGGTCCTTGGTATAGTATGGCTCGCAGAAGTTTGGCTACGGATTCCGCAGCCATGACCGCGCTGCTGCGGATGTCAACCGACATGAGCTTCAGCGCTGCTTGATTTGGCTAAGGTCATTCAAGGTTCACTTGTGCCGCACTTGTGCCCGTGGTCTCTCCGGGGTTTGGGGTTCCTGACTTGCGCCCAGATCCGCGCTTGAGGTGGCGTAGACAGGCCGGCGAGGCAGTGAAGACCATGGAGCAGGAGGCCCCTGCCAAGCAGAGGCCGGGTGAGATCACTGACTCGCGAGTCAGGAATCGCTGGATCGCTTCCTTTGTCCTGAAGCTTCACCCCGAGGTCTACCGAAGCTGCGGCGCCTGAAAAAGGCCAAAGCAAAACACAACTGACCAATTACATCCTGAAGGAGAGAGGCTTGGGGTTTAGGCTTAGGGCTTAGGTTGGCATCGCGTGTGAATTTGTCACGCCGTTTCGCACTGTTCGTGACCCTTGCCCTTTCTACCATGGAGGAGCTTGACAAACTGACCGATGACGTGGACTTCCTCATCTTCCCCCCCGAACTCAATGCAGCAGAGCGGAAGCACGCACATGAGGCCAGAGATGGCCAGAGTCACTTGAATGTTTGCATTGCAGTGCTGCCTGCATTTGGCGCCCGCCACCAAAAGATGGACATGTGACATGGCAACACACCGTGCCGGATTTGCTTACAAGGTGTAGAGCCCATGTAGGGCACATTCAAAGGACGCCTCCTACCAGTAAGTCGAATCCCTTCTTCAAGAAGCTTCGAGACAGGTGGTCAAGGCGCAGAAGCTCATGTCTGTCTCGACCGGGTCAGGCCCGCTCCACACGGGGCCATTGAGGGCATCCAGGCATTCGCAACTGAGCATGTTGGTATACTCTGCTGCTTTTCGTGCAGGCGACGTGCGACAGCTGCAAGTGTTCCGTCCTGGGGCCAAGAAGGCGCCCGACTCTGGATGTTGCATGTGACACATCGTGGAGATATGTCGCTTGGTGCCAAGTTGCATGCCCCCGTGCAAGGTTCGGGCAGATGCACACCTGATCATTCAGCGCGAGGAGACTTCAGCTTTTTGCTAGGCCTCATTGTTCCATTCGTGACACGTAAGCCCCCTGTTGGCTTATGGCGCAGATAGTATGGAAAACTCTGCTCCAGGAGCAGCTCAGTCGCAAGCTGTCGTCTTTGCTGCGCCACAGTGCAGAGCAGCGCGGCATAGGCAATGGTGCACCATGGTGCAAGAACTAGATGTGTGATGCCACTTTTCGTTTCGTGGCTGCACCATTTTGCAACGACAGGCATGCTGCAGGACGGATACGCGCCGTTGTCCACAGTGCTCAGCCAGCGGGAGTTCTCCCGCTTCAAGCACACCGTGGAGGAGGTGCAGGCGCTCGTGGAGCGGGATCAGAAGAGACGCTTTGAGCTCACGACCCGGGCTGGAGAGATGTGGATTCGGGCCACGCAAGGCCACACCATGCGCTCCGTCAAGGATGACGCGCTCCTCCGGCCCATGAGCCTCGAGGAGGCTGAAAAGGTCGAGAGCTGCGTGCATGGCACCTACAGGATGCTCTGGGAGGAGATCCTCAGCAGTGGTGGTCTGTCAAGGATGGCACGGAACCATATTCACTTTACCACCTGCACAACGACGAACACTGAAGTCAGCGGAATGCGAGGCGACTGCGAAGTCGTCATCTACATATCCCTTCTTGCAGCCATGAGCAGTGGCCTCCAGTTCTTCATGAGCACGAACGGCGTTGTCCTGACGCCGGGCGACGAAAGAGGCATGGTCTCGAGCAAGCATTTCGAGAAGGTCGTGGCCCTCGAGGATGGCGCCATCCTCTGGCCCGAAAACTCTGTTTCTGATGCTCCGGCCACTGCTGACGCAACTCAGAATACCGACACTGAGGACGAGGAAGTAGTTTGTTTGCGCACGCCCTTGCTGCCTATGTACATATAGCCACACGTTCCATCTCCTTTCCGCAGCCCTCCACAAGTCGAGCGCATTTCGATAGCCGATGCTGAAAAGGGAGAAGTGGTACCACGAAGTGCCAGGGGCAACACAATCTGTCTGGCAGCTTGCGCTCAACAACCCAGGCAGGTTGCATCCGACATATGAGAGTATTTAGGAGCAACTCCCACCCTCTCTCGAGTTTTCGCTGAGGAGTGGCGACTCAGCTAGGCTAGGCGGATGGCAAACCATCAACTCCCCCCAAGAAAGTTCTAGGTTATTTCGGGGTGTCAAGGGTGGTCTTACCGTTAAGGCAAGGTGAGGAATATAGGAGCACCTTGTGCCCAGGTTCTGGCCAGTGGCCATGTGAAGCAGATCATTGAGTCAGTCAGCTTCGCGCAAGCACTTGGGGATTTCCTCTCAATGCCAAAGTACTAGCCCAAAGTTAGCGACGAAAAGAAGCGAAAATCACGAAAGCCAGCTCGTTAGCAGCTTGCTTCCTTTTGGCTCACTTGTCTATATGAGTCGCCGAAGTTCTTGACCACCATGTCCGATAATTCCCGGATTTAGAAGGTGCCCCTCGATTTGTCCCGATGTTGGTGTGAGGGGTGGTACCCTGCTTAACCTCCGGCCGCTTTGTGCGCCCCCACCGCAACTGCTTTCACCCTGCCGTAACTAAAACCTAGCTTTGCTGGGCCCTGCTCTCAAGCACCCTAAAAAGACCACGTCACCCCAAGCATCCGAAGGCTTTCTTCTGGCTGCCGAGTCCTCTTCTCTTCTGGATGCCTCCCTGGAGCTGCTGGCCACACTCCTCGAGTCGATCGACTCCGGGGCGCCCGGGACGGCAAAAAGCGGCAAGCATAAAACCTCGCTCTTAGCGTCTGCTTGTGCCATCTCTTTGCTTGCTTGAGAAACTGGCGTAGGACGCCGCAACAGTCCCTAGCATATCTGTAGCTGCAGGCTGCAGGGGTCTAGGATGTGGAAGGTTGGCAGGGGGTTGGTGGAGTTCTGGGGTCAGCACGGGCGAGCGGTTTCAGTATGAGTCCGGGTTCATGACGCTGCCACCACAGATGCAGCAGGCGCTGCTGGGCGCATGTGGGGCCCTCGAACGCCTCATTCCTCGTCTGTGCAGCACCTCAATGGCACCTAGAGGGCCTAGACCTACAGAGCGTACACAAGTGTTATGTTTGCAGACCAAGACATCGCCTTCATCGCCTTGTCAACAGGAGGCAGGAGGCATGCTTTGCTTGCCTTCTTCTGCAAACCAAGGTCTGGAGAAGGGCAGAGACATCCTCCACGGCTGCTTGGATGGCGTCACCACAAAAGCCCCAAACCGCGGACGGCGGCTCTAAGCGAACGATCCACAAACCCTTTGGGGCAAGCGGCTACTGAGGCTTGATCGCGCTCTTGCAGTGGTACCCGCGCTACGTTCAGCTGGCTGCTCGCCTTATGTCTTCTCAGTGAAGAGGTTGGGGGTTCCAGCGTTGGTTGCCAGTGTTGTCCAGCCCCGGCTGCCTCCCCTGCTAGTTGCGAAAAGCCTGTCTGCTGCCCAGCAACCGATCTTGCCCTTAGAAGGCCGGACGTCCGGGCTGTTAGAATTGCTCGAGATCAAGCGACGGCATTCGAGCAATCACATGCACCACGCTGGAATGTTGGTGAAACTTTGAATCTGGGTCGTTTTAACTTATGTTGGGGGGGGGGGGGGGTGAGATGCAAGGCCCAGTCGGGTGTTCTCAATATGGAGAGAGAATCAAGCGATGAATTGAAACCTGCACATTCGCTCAGATGGGTTTGTGTTTTTTTTGGGGGCCCAGGTTTAAGAAGGGCACACGGGTTGCACACCCGCGAAACATACCCCTGAAACATACCCCGTAACATACCCCCGAAATTGCAGGTAAAGTAGCTCATGATGCCGCGAAACATACCCGATACATACCCCCGAAACATACCCCAAAACATACCCCGAAACATACCCGCGAAACATACCCGCGAAACATACCCTGATCCCAACACCTGTCGCCCGCCCCCATTAAAACACAAACCCAGATCTCCCTCGACGTCAAAGCCGAGTGGCTGGCGGAGCAGCTGCAGGCGTCGAGCGAGGACCTCTCCAATGTTTGAAGTCCAAACTTTGCCAAAACTCAAACTCGGCTGATCACTCATGGTCGGACTAGCTTTGCGTGGTTTGACTAGTCTTTGGCAGCTTGGGCCTTCGGAACGTGACCCGCGCTTCAGCAGCAACATGAGCAGTGCAGCGCTCAAAGACCCTGTGAGCTTCTCAGCGTTTGCCTGGGTTGCAAGCACGAGCCCGTACTTGAGCCTCAACAATATCCTTGCAGCTGCGGGCTTTCAGGGCCCCACGCTGTGGAGCTTGATGTTTGATTCTGGGAGATTTGGTGACTTGGTCCATGACGAATCCAAGGCACGCCAGAAGGAAGCGCAGGAAGGCACACCTTCATGGAGTCCCCAAAAAAAGAGTAATTATAGGGGTTCCCTTCTAACAAGGCCCCCAATAAGGTCCCAGCCCCCCCCATGGCTCTGAGTAAACCACTCACATGGAGCAGCGCCGAAGTGCCCCAGCCCGCAAAAGCTGAGCAAGGAGCGCCCAGCGCCCGTGCGGCTCGAGGTGCAGCGCGAACAGCTCCTGGCACGCCGGCCACAATTTGCACTTAAACGCCTTCCCCCCTTTCCCCCTCACAGAGTAGAAAAAAACAGACGCCAGCCCCAAGATTCCAAATCCTTCAATGCTGACGGCTGCTGGGCACGAGTGGGGGCTTGAAATCGCTGCGATCTCTTGGGCTCCGGTTCCATCGCAGTGGTACAGTACGCAGTGGTATGCAGTGAAGTTCATCCTCGCCACAAGCGATGAGAGACCCCTTTGGACATGCCAAGGACAGTCTTTGTTCAGGGCTGGCTCAAGGCTCCGCTTCTCTATCTTGGGGGATCGATGTGCATCTTGCCTGCAGACAGTACCATCGGCGCTGTTCGAGTCTGAAACTCAATCGGTTCGAATCTGGAGTGGAGATGACACATGCAACGTAAGGACTTTCACAGATGACGAGGACGAGGACGAGGATGAGGAGAGCAACCATCGGCAAGAGTTCTTCCGCCGCCGCCTCATCTGCGGAAGCAAGTTCTCAGACCATCTCTCGAACTATCTATATAACCCTAAGGCCCTAAGGCCCTAAGGAAGCCTGTAACCCCAGATGGCCCCAAACCCCCCGAGGTCTGGCTGCCGAGGAGTTTATGGAGCTTGGGCTCTTTGTTAGCAAGGACGGACTCTTGGCTGGCTACGGCGTTTTGAAGTCGGTCGGGTACCCTTATAGGCTGGTCGATCCTTCGGCCCCAAACCGAGCTCCAAGCGACTGCGCATATCGGATTTGCCTTTTGCACTTCCTGTAGTGCTGTAAACTGTGTCTCTACGAAGTCGCTCGCATGTATGTTCATTCCGTCTCTACGAAGTCGCTCGCATGTATGTTCATTCCACCAGAGCATTTCGTGCTGACCCCGATTATTATTTTCGTCACGTTGTGCATGTCACGTGGCCATTCTGGCTTCAACGCTCGAATCGGACATTCGTTGGTTGTGGCCAAGGACAGCGCTCCTTCCACATCAACCCTGAGGCCAAAGAGAATCAGCTGCCACAGTTCGAGCTCTGCGCCTTGTTTGCGAGGGTGCGATGCGTCAATCGGGATTGTTGCCTATGAGGGCCTGAGGGTGAAGCCATGTCGTGGAAATGCTGTTGTGAGCAGATAGGTGTCTTGGTCTTGCAACACAATTTTCTGTAGTGGCAGCCAAAAGAGTTCCCGGTTCAAGGTGGCAAGGTGATCGGCCTCGCCCTGCTGCACAGGGACAATGTTCCGGCCATGCGACTAAGCCCGGCTTTGCGCAAAGTCTTGCTGGGCGGTGCCACTCGGGCCGTGAACAGTGACCACCGTTTAGTGACATTGCACTGGTGCATTGCCCAAGTCCTGTTGCCGAGCCGGGCCGTGGGCAACTAAGGCCAAGCTCAAAATGGAGGCACGTTACCTGCCCGTGGGACACCCCCCCGAGATCGCGTAGCAGCATCGCAAGCAGATGCCATCAGAAGCCTCAAAAGCCTCAACTCTTGTTTTCTGGACTGGTGGCAAGATGAACTGACATGGGATGACATGGGTCTTCTGCGGTCCAATGCTGTAGGGTCCACTACATCTAGATAATAAGAGGCCATGGGTTTTCATCGGCAGCGTGCAGCCAGGACCTGGCCGCGGTCGATCCGACCTTCTACCAAAATCACGTTAGGTCCTCAGTTGCCCGCAGCATTTGCAGCTCAGAAAGCCTTCTTTGCGTGGGCAGATGCGTCCCAGGTGCTCCACATCTTGGAGGGGCACTACAAAGAGGAACCGTAGTACATCCGGGCTCGGTCTAGGCTTTCCTATGGCCTGCGTCAAACATCTGCCAGGAAGAGCCGCCAAAGGAGCTTGCCGAACTGGGCCTGACGTTCCAAGATGCAGCTCATCTGTTCTCAGTCGGACGCTGTGTGCTGCTGCTTAGGCTCGGCGACTTGGTGCTTACGGCTTTGCCCCTCTGATAGACCAATATTGATTGCTGAAACGGCCCAAGGTTCGTCGGTTATAGATAGCAATCATCGTGTGCGTGGGGAAAGGGAAAGTTCAACCTCCAACCCCGACCTTCTGAAAATATTCCCAAAGACGACCTCGAATCGAGTTGAGGTTTAGGGTTTAGGATTTAAGATTTAGGATCTGACTTTAGACACATCTTGGGCAATCTATCCTGGACGCTTCTTCACCGGAAGGAAGGCCAATTCCTCACCCTGTAAAAGCTCAGAAAAAACCCCAAAAGCCTCCAAAACACCCAGGAGATTGGAGGTGTCAAGACTGAGCTTTGCATTGGCGGTGCACAGCGACGGGTTACCGAGGAGAACAAAAGCCAGTACCTGGCAGCTTGGGGGTGCACAGTGGTTCAAGGCCATAGGGAGCACGGGTGTATTTTTCGGATCTGAAGGGGAAGAGTTCAAGCATTCCAAGCTGATCTTGTGATCCTTTTAGGGAGATCACCACGGCACGGGCAGGGAGATGTTTTTTTTGTTTTTTTTCTGGGGGGGGGGGGGGGGAAACCTAGCATGTCGGTCTTCTCTTTCCAGTCTTATTATCCTTCATCCAAGGATCTGCTCTGCCACCACCGGCTCTTGGGCTCGGTACGGCCGCAGGCGGGAGCTGAACATCTACACACAACAGCGGTTTTGCGTCATCTTAAGCACAGTCCAAAGAAAAGAGATCCTTGTATGTTGGACTCTACAACTGCAAGAGCCAGCTTTTGCAGACAAGCAGAAACCGCTCCACTCGCGCAAAGCTCGCACACTCAAGATTGTGCCTTGTCGGGGCTACAGGTACAAGCATTGCTCCGGGGAGTTCATGCTCTGGTCTCTCCAGAAGTGCAGCATGCACTGCAGCGCCGCTCGCCCGGATTCTTGTTGGATGCAGCTGAGAGACAACTTACAATACAGAGCATGCAGAGAAGCGATGTGGTCAAGCAATGATGCATGTTGAACTTCTGTGGAGTACGAAGACCTCCTCTTGCTCTGGGCATACTTCCATCCACATTTCACTTTTGCCCAGGCACAATCTCAGCTGCTGAGCTTGGCATGATCCTCTGTGGAACGGCGCGCCCGGATGTGCAAGAGTGGAAGGACGGCCCGTGCTAGGCGTGTGCTGGCGTGCAGGTCGGAAGTCAGAGGATAAGGGTCAGGTCAACCGACACACACATGAGCGTCGGCAAATGCTGGAGTGCCTGCGTTGCCTGCGCGTGCCCTTGTGCTCAAAAGCATTTGCTGATCGACCCTGAAGCCCATGGGCCTGCAGCTGGCCACTCCTGGCCACTCCTGGCCAAGGAGGTCATGTCGGCCGAAGGCAGAGGGATCAAGGAGATCGCCAAGAGCACCAGCCTGCCCGAGCTTGTGGCGCAAGAGGGCGCTTGCAGGATGAAACTGCTAAGCAAAGTGGAGTCCATGTCCAAAATGCAGCAGGGCTTTAAGATGCAGCAGCGGAGTCACATAAGCCGGATGAAGAAGCCTTTCCCACCACAGGGCACCTACAACCAGCATACTCATCTGGGGCAAAGCTTCGAGGAAGTGCTGCAAATGGAGGCCACACTTTCGGCCCTCCAGAAAAGGAAGGATGCCCTGCGAGACAAAGAGTGGCAGGCGGTGGCCGTGAAGCCCATCCAAGCTTCGGGCTGTGCGCGCTCCAAGTCGATCACCAACATGCAGGAATGGTTCAAAGCTTATGGCGAGCCATCGGGGCTCAGCCGGTGGAAAGACTGGCGCTCCAACAGTCCGTTCGTGCAAAGCCTCAAAGCTCGCAGAAAGGAACTGTAAGAAGCATTCAGCGTGTGAGAGTAAATGGCGTGACCGCTTCGGTCTTCCTTCTTAAAGAAAGACGGCCGAGAGCTTCGGTTTAAAGGTTTCGGTGTCCTTCGCCCAGTGCAGTCGCAGGCTTTTGGACTTCTTTTGCGACCGGCACCTAGCTTTGAGACTCGACTTCAGGAGAGCAGCACATGAGAGGACGCGCTTGGGTTTAGGGTTTAGGGTTTAGGGTTTAGGGTTCAGGGTTTAGGGTTTAGGGTTTAGGGTCTCTGTCGTCCTCGAGCCTGGGAGTTGCTCCTCCCGTGTTCGTGGAGTCTCTTGTTATTCTTAGCGTGACGTCTCACGACGCACGGGGAACCGCAACGGCAAAAAATGTGCTGTGGGAATGCGGGCCTGTAATCTTAACGGCATAGTTGGGACCCGCACCATACCAGGTGACCCCTCTGCCAATAAAGAGCTTCAGCGTGAGGTACAAAGCCTAGTGAGACCACGCACAACACGTTGTCAAAGGAGGGCAGCACGAAGATGGACGAGCTATCCCCAGAAGCATGGCAGATGTTCTGGCAGGCTCTTGAGGCCGCTGAGATTTGGAAAGGGCATGTCGTCGTAGCTGTTTCTCAGGAACCTTGCCACGTTCACTCATTGATGCCTGTAAGCTGTTGCCAGCTTATGCGAAAACCTGCTAGACTGCAAAATCATGCTAGTCCTATGTTGGCTCTCTTAAACAGGGACCTTATTCAGAGGGTCTATACGTCTATACCCCCAAGGGTCCCCCTAATCCCATCCCCTAGCTAGATTGCTTGCAGGCCATGACACCGGAGCAGCAGAACGCCGTCCTCGAGTTCGCTACCGGCAGCACCCACCCTCCAACGGAAGGCCTCTGCCACTGATGCACAACTGTTTCCTCCTGCACATCCTGGGTTGCTGTCGTGCTGACACACAGCTCAGTCCGAGTCATGCAGCCGCAACCCCGACAACCCTGGCAGCAGGTGGGTTGGCAGCCCTGAAGTTCACAGTGGCGCCGGCCAGAAGCACGGAACCAGCTGCAGTGGCGCGGAAGCAGCTTCAGCCGTAGCCTTTGCATAAGGGGTGGCTTACTGCAGGGCGCCATAGGGCCTGCAGGCAGCAGCTTCCAGACTTTCATAGGGGCCCTTCAGTTCCGCTTGCGGATGAAAAAACCTAAAGAAGCCTTGGACTGGCAGTCTAAGGAGCCGCATCTTTCGACACTGTACCTCCCCAGCTACAACTCGGCCGAAGAAGCCCGGGAGGCACTCGTCATGGCCGCATACGGGCACTCGAATAGGATGTGCCCGCAGGAGGCCAAGTGATTTTGAAATGATCGAGCAGGGAAAAAATGCGTATTGTAATTGGTCATCTTGACCGAATGTCATCGGGGGCAACTCGAAGGATTCGAGGCCCGCTGCAGTAGCCCGCACGTCAGCCTGCTTGAGCCAGCTGTCTTCGTTGCATCGCGGCCTCAAGGGCCCAGGGGAAGAATTCGCCACATGTAGGGTTGGAGCTTACCAATACCTGTTACTATTATTACTATTATTTTCTTCTGAAATTGTTTTCATATCTAATTCACTATTTAAAAATGATTTAACACTAGCTATGGGCAGGGAGGCTCACCAGACAGGCAATTCATCGGGACCAAGCTCTGAGCTGAGAGCAGCATCACAGGATGCTCCGGCTTTCTCAGCTCAGCGCCCAACTCCCCTCTGCCAATGACTTCTCAAACTTAGAAGGGGGCTTGGAAGTGCAGCATCATCTGTCCAACAGGAGGATGGAGTCTCTGTAGTTTTGGCAGATGTTGCTCAAGCCCCCTGGCTCCGGGGCCTCTTGTCCCCCAACCGCGCTTCGAGGTGGTTGCAGCGCGCTTCCGCCAGATGCTTGCAAAAAGCCCGCAATGTACAACAGTCTACAAAGTTACAACATGTTGCAACGTTGTGTCTGCCAAGACGCCTGCTGGCCAGGCATAACCGTGAACATGCTCACACCTGGCGTGCCTGTCATGGACCGCTTGGCGCTCGCTTTGCTTGAACACTTGAAGCAGCTGCAGGCTCGCGTATGCCGTCTTTTGAAATGCTGCGGGCTGACACGCTCGCACTCCATGCAATTGAAATGCCCGAAACCCCTCCATCTTTCGGTGCAATACTAACGGCGGGTTGTAGCCACTTGGGACTATCTTGCTCAAAAATGATCCCAGAGCTTCCAGGTAGAAGGCCGATTGCCCAAAGATCTTCGCATTTCTGCGTCTCGGCAAAGCCGTTGAGAACCATGGATGTGTGAGGACCCGCCCTGCCGCGTTTTCAATGAAAGGGGGAAAACCAAGCGAGGAGAGCCGGGCGAATCCCAGGTGAGTGGGCCGGATGAAGCCGGTGAAGGAGAGCACAAGATCTCACTGCAAATGCTGAGGCGCGTGGGGCACGGAATCTCATTGTCGAAGTACGATTTTGCCCATCTTACTGCTAGCTGACATCTCGGGTCCATGTCCAATGTAGATATCTTGTGGATGTTTCCCTTTGTCAGCACCTGCGGCAGAGACAGGAACGAGTCCGCAGCTGAAGCGGTTGGCGCAGAGGCATCTTGGAATGGGGAAGAAGCACATAAACGGCAGCAGAGGGGATGATCCTTCTCGGTGCTCCGTGGTTGACGCGTTTGCCGACATGTCCGACATGTTAACATGCTGCCATTACGCAACTTCCGGCAATGCTTGCGCGCATGTTATCCTTGTGAACCAGTGGAGGTGAGGTAGAGAGGGAAAGAAGAAAGAAAGGCATGAACCTTGCATACTGTCCTTGAATACCTGCGGAGTTGCGGAAGAATCAGGAGTGTCATATCCTTGTTGGCACCGACTCAGACCTGCCGCTTTGCTTCAGAGCATGACTGAAATCTCACCCAGAGCCTGCACATTCCGCATCTATCACTCCCCAACAGTGGCCTTAATACCCGACACAAATGGCAGGTTCTGTACTCTGGTACCATTCCCTTCTTACATGAATGTGGCCCCACACCGCCCCGAGGCATTCACCAGAGACGACAAATCAACAGAGACCCTTTGGAAGAGACCCCCTTGCCACTGAGGCTGCTAGTCCCCATTGCATTGCGCCGCGGCCCAAAGCGCGTGGTGGTGGCTCGGCGCGAGGCAAGGGCGCTGCTTTCCCGGCCAGACTTCAGCTCGTTTTTACAGAGCCGGTGGCATGGTTTAGGATGCCACAAAAGCCCGCTACCCACATTACATCCTACTGGAAGCTTTTGTTTTGTCGTGGGGAGGATGGACCTGTACAACGCAAGTCTCCGTTGCTGCCTGGCGAAAAGGAGTTCAGGGCAGAGTCGTTGCAGGCCAGGGCGGTCCAGGCAGTCCAGGCATCACTAGTTCTGCACTTCAATGATCCATGCCGCTGGCCATTGAACTGCGTTGAGGCGTGTTTGCCGCAGTGATCGGATTGTGGAAGCCATGGCCAGGCATGCGGTTGGGTGAAGCAGGGTGGGTTTCAAGTTCCCCCCATTTCCCCCCCCCCCATTTGTCAATTCTGTAAGGGGGTTCGGGCCTTGTAAGGCATTCAAAGAGCGACCCTCGCAGGGTGTCAGCTTGACATCGTTGCTGAGGGGGGAGGTCTGAATCCAGCATGAAATACAAAGCCTGGGGCGACCATAATTCAGCATCCTTTAGCATTTAGGCGAGTTTCGAAGCTGTCCCGGCACATCTGCGACCATGGCATGTCAGCTTCTATTCTAGATTCTAGATCACATGAGACTTCAAGCCTGCGACATTCTCTATGATTGCGCTGCACGAACTTAAAACATCCCGTGTCGCTACCGCCCCCCGCCCCCCCCCCCCCCCCCCCCCACTATTCTGAGAAATTCTTGGGCCCCTGATAAAGCCTGAACACTGAAGCCTACAGGCCCTGCGCCAAAATCCTGAACTGGACCCATAAGGGTAGGCCCAAGACCCCTACAAGTAGACCCCAAACTTGGCGCCAGCCAGCTAATGTGAGACACTGAGAACCTAACAAGCTGGGAGGCAATTCCAGGTCTTCACCGCGGAGGTTCACGCCTCTCTCACCCCGAAGGACAGTCGCGCAGTTGCGGGTTCAGGGTTCAAAGGGGTTTAAGCAGTATCTGGATACCACTCGATCCAAGATGTTCGGAGGCGCCTTCGTTTTCAAAGGCTGGGAAGATTGGGCAGGAGTTGGCAGTTGATCTCAATCAATTCAATCATGGGCCGTACAGATCTTCCTTACAGGTAAAGGTACTGCACATGGACCCCAAGTATAAAGAAGTCTGAGCGTGGTATTTTCTTCCGATGCACAGGACCTCCAGCAACTGCGACTTGATTTCGTGCTGATGGTGCTCTTCAGGGGCAACGACTATCTACCAGCGCTGGTGTCTCTCGGTTTGCTCTGGGGTGCTCTGGGGCAGACGGGGGTGGGCACACTGCGAGACTTTGGCACTTTATGCCTTCATGGAGTGGGGGGTAGGGGTGGTTCCGCCTGGTATGACTACGTCGACGACGTGCTGTCTGCACACCCGAATCGCGATGCCCTGGTCTGACACACAACGGCATTTCCACAAAATCAGGACCAAAACAGGGCATGCCAATATTCGAACGGCAGTTCGTGTGAATGAAATGCGTTTCCTGCAGTCGGGCTTCTAGGCTAAGTTGTAGTCGTAGTCGTCGTAGTAGTAGTAGTAGTAGTAGTAGTAGTAGTAGTAGTAGTAGTAGTAGTAGTAGTAGTAGTAGTAGTAGTAGTAGTAGTAGTAGTAGTAGTAGTAGTAGTAGTAGTAGTAGTAGTAGTAGTAGTAGTAATAGTAGTAGTAGTAGTAGTAGTAGTAGTAGTAGTAGTAGGAGGAGTAGTAGTAGTAATAGTAATAGTAATAGTAATACTAATGGCAATAGTAATTGCAATAATACACTCGCAATGTACCCCGCAACTCGAGACCGCAGGAGCCTTGACTTTGGAGCTTCGGGTTTCTCTAAGGAATGGGATCGGTGACGCGGTGATTGTTTGAGGGATGCCCTCTTCTGATTTAGGCCAGTTTAGGCTTTCAGGGGACTTCGAGGGTACTCTCGGAAACAAGAGCTGAGACCCTAGGCGAACATGAGCTTAGGCCCCAAGCTCCTACGACTACTACTACTACTACTACTCCTACTACTTCTCCTACTACTACTCCTACTCCTACTACTACTACTACTACTACTACTACTCCTACTACTACTACTACTACTACTACTACTACTACTACTACTACTACTACTACTCCTACTACTACTACTACTACTACTACTACTACTACTACTACTACTACTACTACTATACTACTACTACTACTACTACTACTACTACTACTACTACTACTACTACTACTACTACTACTACTACTACTACTACTACTACTACTACTACTACTACTGTTCTTATTCCCAACAGCCGAAGGGTTGGGTTTCTATCTCTAGAGGCGGGGGGCCTAATATCACCCAAAACGACGGAACGGAACGGAACGCCGGAACGGAATGGAACGCAAAGGCCGGAGCACAATGGAGCGCCGGAACGGAACGGAACGCCGGAAAGGAGCGGAACTCCGGAACGGAACGGAGCGCCGGAACGGAGCGCTGGAACACAACGCCGGAACGGAACGGAGCTGCAACGGAACGTGGGTTTTTCCGGGCTTGATGTGGCACCTCACAGTTTGTGATCTATGCTGCCATCAAGGCGGCATTCAGAGCACCGGGCCCTAATTATTGTTTGGACATGTTTGGACGACACAAGCACACAGCCCTGCAACGGAACGGAACGCCGGAACGGAACGCCGGAACGGAATGCCGGGACAGAACGGAACTTGATCATCTCTGTTTTGTTTGGTCGCTGGCGCGAGCTATTTGGTCGCAGGGGAGGTTTTGTCCCAACTCTGCTTGCTCTGCGAAAAGGTTCTGGCGCTAGCTATTTGGTCGCAGGGGAAACATCTGGCGCGAGCTATTTGGTCCCAGGGGGGTTTTTGTCCCAACTCTGCTTGCTCTGCGAAAAGGTTCGAAACATCTGGCACGAAACCCTACGAGCACGAAGGGAGGGGACATACGACAAACCTCTAGGGCCCTCACCAAACCCTACGAGCACGAAGGGAAGGGACACGCGACAAACCTCTCGGGCCTTCAGCGAAAGCAACTAGCACCCCACCTGCCCCTGTGTAGGGCTGTAAAACGCGCTCCTTAAAAAGGTGGTTTACGTAAATTGAGATGTTTATCCCTTTTTGTGGGAAAAGAGCCATGACCAAAGCCCGAAAATCATAACGTGCTTTGACTAACCAACTATCGCCCAATCTTGGCGCG